CCTCCAAAAGTGGCGCGAACATGTAGTGTTTTGTACATTTTACATTTTCACTTGGAAATGTGCTTCGCACCACAACGGCGTGCACTTTTTCGACATCGCAACTTCCAAAAGTGGTCCGACAATGGTGTGCTTTGTACATTTTGACTTGGAAATGTGCTTCGCGCCACAACGGCGTGCACTTTTCCGACATCTCAACTTCCAAAAGTGGTCCGCTCCTCTAGTGTTTTGTCCATTTTGACTTGGAAATGTGCTTCGCGCCACAACGGCGTGCACTTTTTCGACATCTCAACTTCCAAAAGTGGTCCGACGCTGAGGTGTTTTGTACATTTTGACTTGGTGTTTTGTACATTTTGACTTGGAAATGTGCTTCGCGCCACAACGGCGTGCAATTTTTCATCTCTCATCTGGCCAGCTGGCTCCGCACCCGCCGCTTTAGCGAGCCTACTTTTCGACCCTCCGGAGCGCCAAATCATTGGAAAAACACAGTGTTTCGCGACTTTCCTACCTTTTCGCACATCTGCATCTTCTTTCTTCTTACTCTTTCTCTTCTGACTCTTTTCACCTCTGCTTTTCAACTGTCCATATTGTCGGAAGTTTCACTTCTAAACTTCCTTCGATCATATCATATAGATATATATATATATGTAGAGATATATATGTATAGAGAAATATAGAGATATAGAGGTATCATTCCAGATGATGTGTCAGAAACTATGTCAGAATTATTCGCAAGGGTGGGGATCTCTCGAAGTAAAGTAAATTCAGTTCGTGCTTTGGCGTTTGGTTTCTTTCTTGCCAAACGAAAATAAGTTTTCACTTGAATGCAAAAAAAACTAGGCTAATCTAGTTATCTTAAAGATGGGTTTGTTTAAAAACAATTCAATGTAAATTTGACTTGATTTAGCCACTAATTAGTAGATTTGATTTACAATTGATCTCGATTTCATTGCAACTTCATGTGAACTTCCTGCTTAAATGGTAAGTAAGGTGCCAAAAAAAACAGCTGAAAAAGAAAAAATGCATAAAATCAGAAGAATGCCACTCTTTTTTAAACGTTTCCGGGTTGGCCAAGCTCAAAGCAGGAACCTCACAGATCCAAGGGTGAGCACTTGGTGCGAAATTGAACTCAAATAGGGTGACAACCTGAAAGTTGTCCCACGGACATCCTTTTTCAACCAGCATCAACGCGGAGATAATCCATCAATGGACAGAACCACCAACTACAATTGAACCAGGATGGAATCTGTACTGGGGTGAAGGAGCTTTCAGAAGCATCTCCACAAGTTGACGCACCTGCTATCGCGTGATTGCAGGAAGAGTGGCGTGAGTGCCTCAACAAAACGCTTCCCAAAGCTTCCTATGCATCTGTTTCTCTAAGACAAAGTTTCCTTACTGTGTCTGTTGAGTCTGTTGAGTCTTAGATCCATTGCACACACGAAAGCAACCAATACCCAGCCTCTGATTATCGCCAGTGCACAAAATCCTTGGCTCCCAAGTGATCTACATGCTGTTGCGAGTGCAAATCCCATCAATTGAAATCATTTTTTGCCAAAGCACTGAATCAAACAAATGCTTACTCTATATTCTATGTTATGATAACAATAAGCATAAGCATCTCTGAGAAAAAAATGCCAATTCAGTGTGGTCAAAACCATCCAAATTCTTGTTCGTTTCTGGCGAGCGTCGCGTGTTCTCTCCTTCAGCACCAAGACAAGGGTGGACCGACGGTGGAGCGGGTGGAGTCCAGGCAAGTTGTCCGTTCAAGCGCAGGATGAAGGAGCCGCGGCATGAAGCTTCACCCAGTCCAACTCGGAATTTGTGCATTTTCCGACGCCATCTTCGTCCAAGATGTCCAAGATGTCCAAGAAGCACGCAGCTCAGCAACTCCACAAATTGGAATTGGTGCAATGTTTCTACGAAGAGAGATGGAATCTAGGCAGGTTTGGAACTTCTCTTGCTGCATCACTTGCTTGATTGCAATAGCACAGGAGTCCGGAAAGGACGTCGGGCTGCTGTCTAAAGGTAGCAGCTCCCAATCTGCTCTGCCTTGCCAGGTTGCAAAGCAGTGCATGCATCTTGCATGGCTTTCACATGCTTCATGTTTCTTGATGTTTCTGAAGAGATTCTTAATGTTTCATTTGTTTCATTCTCTTGTGTTTCCTTGTTGTAGGCACCTCTCCAAGCAGGGCGCCTGGGATTTGTGAACCTTCCGAGTTGAAGCCAGTTGAAGCCAGTTGAAGCCAGTTGCCACAGCCCCGGAACGGAACATTTCACTGATTTTCACCGAGCCATCGGCTGCTGTCTTTGTAGACCCACCAGATCTAGCGACGAAAATGCAGCCACATGGCAGGGGGGCAACTGAAGTCTGGACATGTCTGGACATGTCTGGACATCATAGTGCAATCTGTCGTTTCTCCTTCAGATCTTCGCTAGTCTTGATGTTCTCTTGATATCTCTTGATATCTCTTGATATTCTCCAGCCTCCGGTGCCATGAAAAGCCTCACGTTCTTGGAAAGTGCAAAGTCCATGGCAGCCTCGACAGCAATCTGAAAGAATGGAAAGATGTAGACAGAAACATTGGGCGGAACCATGCGGAACCATTAAAGATATCTAAAGCTATGGTCTTATTATGGAGACTTATTATGTCTTATCGTGTCTTATCACTTTCAGCATGGCTTGGTACTGAAATCTGCGGACCACACCTGGACCACACCAGGAAAGTTCACTGCGAAATCATGACCTGCTAAAACGCCGCCACTGCGGAGCTTCGGCCACCAAACCTCATGACATCGGCAAAAATGTCAAAATATGTCAAAATACCTCGCTGAAAAGCAAAAAAAACTGTTGTTTCAGTCGTGGAAAGCTGGATCAGACAAGAGCAAAAAGCCGTGCGCGCAATCTCTGCATGTCCGCTCCTTGATATCGTCTGTCACAGTCTCGTAGCGGTGGTCTCCATCCAAAAAGACCATGTCCAAAAAGTCAGACCTGCAGAGGTGACACTGCGCCACAGTATGCTTCAATCATCAACATGGCTGTCTTTTGTTTTGCAGAAAGGAGTGGCTTGAGTTCACTCGCCAAATCATGTCATCCAATATGCAGTCAAATCATATCGACTCATCGTTTTTTGCGTTCATGTTGTGCTCCTCAGTGCAATGAAGCAACGTCAAAAATGGCTGCCTCACCCAAGCTGCGGCTGCACGGCTTGTTTGAAGCACTGCCGTGGCTCGATTCCGCACAGGCTGAGTTGCCCTTGGTGGGTGAAGAATCTAAACATGCTTTCCATTGCTTTCCTATCTTTCCCTCCAATGGAAAGAAATTGGAAAAATTGGATGTGGAATTGCATGGAAGTGCCATTTTGACAGACCAATCTCGCTAAGGGTCTCCATAGCAGCTGCGAAGACGGATTGCGGCGAGACATAGAACTCCTCTTGGCCAGTCAAACTCTTTACCACACTACGTTTTGATCAGCTGGAGAACCCAGTGGCACACAGTGTTGTGAAGCTTCAAAGCAAGAGCAGAGCTTGCCCTGTCTCAGTTGCTCCAAGTCTCTCCTCCAATTCCTGGGCTTGGCTTCTGTGGTCTTCAGTGTGGAGATGGTACCTGCCAGGCCAGGCCAGATAGTCCTCCACATCGACTGTTTGCTTTACACTTTGCAAGGAACTGCTCCCGGATGCAACTTCTGCAACTGCTGCAAGTGCTGCAAGTGCGCACGGGTCAACTAGCAGCATCCTGGTCAGGCGCAAGAGACGTGGTGATTCTTGCTGCTGTCAAAAGGTCAAAAAGATTCAACAACGTCAAATCACACAGTTCCTTCACATCACATTGCCGTCATTGCCTTAAATTCTCAAAGAGCGCCAGCAACTTTGTGGAGGTGTTGGCCATGAAGACTCCCACCTTCAAGGCAGCGTACAACAATCTCTCGGTATCTCTCGGTATCTCTCGGTATCTCTCGGTATCTCTCGGTCCGTCGTCGAGTATTTTTTGGGCCTCAGCCATCCACAGATCGCCGTGAGGCTGGCGAACTGACTCTAGAAGTCCTGTATTCCCGGGAAAAAGATCGTTGAATCGTTGAAGCCAAAGATGACAAGGAACCCACACACCATGAAACCATGAGGTCTCCGACATCCCAAGCTGTCCTGAAAGAATTGAAATCCGCCCAGCACCAGCAAAGAGAAACGTCCAGTCGGACCTGCCACTGCGAAGAAATCTTGGAACGCAATTCATTCAGTGGCTGGGAATATCTCAGCATTAATTGTTTGGAGTTGTTCCATTCTGCCAAGTCAAAGCCGTGCCTTCCCGAGCTGCGCTGCCAGAGGTTCATGTCCCTCAGTGCAGAACCTTGCAGAGCACCGACCTGCCGAGACCAGAGAGCCGTTCAGATTCGGCACAGATCAGAGAACCAAGCAGAGCCCAGTGCAACGAGCAGAGCGAGCAGAGCCTGAAAGAGGCTGTGCACACATTGAAGGCCCGTGTCCTCAGCGACGCTTTGAACATGGCATCAGTGGCGTCAGTGCTCTTGGTGCTCTTGGTGCCCAGCCCAAAAATCACCGCAGACCTCCCCAGTGGCCAAAGATGCCCTGACGTGTTAAATGTCAGCAGTTTCCTCCAGCAACATTCTGTCCACCAATGCCATTTTTAGTTTGCTGCAAAATCTCCTAAGGAAAGTCTTCCGGCGCCTCAAATGGATGCATTCCGTGGTCACGGAAGGGTAAAAGGTCGCCTTTCCATGTGTTGAAAAGGAAGTGAGCCCTCCACCGTTGTTCCTACATGAAGCCTGTCCGGCCTGGCTATCAATGGACGCCACCAACGCTACCAATGTCTCAGTCACAGCAGGACTTGATAAGAGATGGGAGCAGAAGGGAACAGTAACAGTAGTGAAGGAAAGCGTTGCAAAAGGACAAAAGGACTCAAAAATCGGAGACATGACGAGTTGCCGCGGGAGCACCACGTCTGCAAAGGGCTTTGATGGCTCCGCGTGCTGAGCGCTGCAGCTCTGTGGAACCCTAGGCAACACACCCATGGATCCCATGGATCCCATATGGATCCCATGTGGATCCCATATGGATCCCATGGATCCCATATGGGATGTGTCTAAACTCTCCAGATTTCATGATTTCGGTAGCGACAGGGAGGTATCGCACTTTCGCAAGAGACAAGGGGAATTGCGGAGATGGAGCTGCGTGGAAACACAACCGGCTCCGGAAGTTAAAGCGTGGAGGATCAGTACTTGCTCAGCGACTACGTCGAGAGTTCCTCTCATCTCAGGAGCGAAGCACCTCAAGCTGAGCAGAAGATGCAAACAAAAGGTTCATCCTTTGGACAAATTTCTCTGATTCAACAAGCTTGTCGACATCAGGTAGTTTAAAGATGTTTAAACTCAATGACGGGCAGCTACATCCCCAAACAAAATAAAACAAACGTGTTGTTTCAGCATGTTTCAGCATGTTTCAGCAAGCGGCTGCATGGGTTGGCAAGGCATGGAGGGCATTTGGCCCAAGCAGCAGCTTGCACCCAGCGCCTAGAAAATGATCTGCAAACGGCTCGCAAATCCAAACTTTTCCAAACAAGTTTGGACCGTGTTGAGCCGCGTTGGATCAATTTGATTTCTGACGCACAGCCCTAGTCACTAGTCCTGCATCAAGGTGAGGGCTGCATTGGAGTATCTGGCCTTGGCACTTTGCTGGCCATCCTGTTAGCATCCTGTTAGCATCCTGTCAGCCTCAGGGCGGGGCTGCTACAGCTGCAATGACGGGGCCAAAGCGCTGGCCACGCAGCCATTTGAAAGGCCTCAGTGTCACAAGTCACACCAACATACATCGAATATATATGTTAGCTAGTTAGCTCTTCAAAATCTTCAACTTGCATGTTAACATTTTTTTGCTATAGCAATCAGACTGAAGATGATTGAAGTATCGCAACCTCCTGCTCACAGCTTCTCACATTCTGTCTGCACAACAAGGCTAAACATCGCCACGGTCTTGGCCAAAGCGCTCCAAAACGGTGGCATTGAGAGCTGCAGCTATGTAGCTCAGCTGCAGGTTTTCAACGCCCATGCGCAAAATCAAAAAATTGAGGACAGTTCTTCCAAGAACACTGGAGTTGAAAGAAACTGTGTGCGACGTCATGGTAAGCCTATTCTAGTTTTGCGGAATGACTACGTTCAAAAGAGCGATCACTCAGAGCCTCGATTGCTAGTCATGGCTGCAGTCATGCATCGTCTCATCACTCCGGTCCAAAAGAACTGACGGTGCTGCTGTCTGTCCTTCAGACGTGCCCAGCTTCGCAGACATCACAGACATCTTTTCTGCAGCTCTTGAGCATAGCATCCAGCAGTCTATGTGACAACGAACTACGCCAGTGATGCCCAGCGTCCAGCATCAAAACTTCTTCCTGTCAGCTCTGAAAAGATCTTCCAAGATGCACTCTGGAAATCTACACAGCTGTCGCATACACGGTATGCGTGTGGAGCTTTCAGTACTTGATTGATCTTGATTCGAAATCGACAGCACCAGTACAAGCATTGCTAGCATGGCTAGCAGGGCTAGCATGGCTAGCATGGCTAGTACCTTCACACTTCATGGCTGAGCACTGGGCCCTGTTGAGGATCGCTTCTCTCGCTCAGCTTGCTTGATGCGATCGGGACCAGCCCACAACCTGTTTATTTGACATCTGTTTGACATCTGTTTGTTCTTCGCCCCTGAAGTCTGTCCCAACTTCCAGATAGAATTCTAAGAATTCTAAGACACTCGCCCTGCTAAACAAGGCTTACTATCTGTGACTAAGAGAGCTACTATGTTGATCTATGTCAATCTATGTTGCAGTATTTGTCATGGGGGTGGTGGGCAATTCACACTGACATATTTCGGATGGCGCCTCATCAGCACCAAGAAGCAGAAGAGCGCAATGGAACCTTTGTGATCTGTGATGCTTCGGTGTGTTTGTGGAGCATCTGATTCATCTGATTCAACAGCCACAAAAAAGGTACAAGGCACATCAGCCGAAATTTGAGATCTTCACCAATGAAGAGATTCAGTAGGAAAGCTGGCAAGCCCTTGGTCCAACTTTCCATCAATCAATTTGAACGTGAACCAAGTTCTTCGGTTATAAGCTTTTTTAGAGCGCTATTTTAGAGCGCTATTTTAGAGCTACCCGCAAGATTTACCATCCGACTCCAAAATCAACAAAATATGATGTAAAAAGGAAATAAGCTCCCAACAGCCGCAACGCTTTATTTTTATAAATCTTTCTGAAGCGTGCTGCGAAGCCAAGCGCTAGAAACCCTGTTGAACCTGTTGAACCTGACCTGGCCTTGCAGCAAAGATTCCCAAAACCTTCTCCGGGACCTTCTCTGCAACCTTCTCCCCGATGAACCTGACTTGGCTTTGCACCAAGGCTTCCTGGAACCTTCTCTGGAACCTTCTCTGGAACCTTCTCCGGAACCCTGTTGAACCTGACCTGGCTGCACCAAAGCCTCCCAGACCTTCTCCTGAACCTTCGGAACCTTCTCCGGAACCTCGTTGAACCTGACCCGGCGCCTGCACCAGTGCACACCAGAGCTATTCTGGGCTGAAGACCCCAGTAGCTTACGCTGTTGGGGAGATGAAAAAAGGTTGTGCAAAGGCAGCTTTGGGAATGTCCAGAACTGCTTGTGCTGCACACGGCTCAGGTCAGTTCTCAATGGGACAAAAAGTGAGAGCTACACGAGGACCGTCAGGACCCCACTCTGATGTGCTGCTTGTGCGGAATATCGGCTCGTCGCCCTGTGAAAACCTGTGGTCACAAGTGTCACAAGTGTCACAAGTGTCACAAGTGTCACAAGTGTCACAAGTGTCACAAGTGTCACAAGTGTCACAAGTGTCACAATAACCGGCTGAAGGCACTTTTCATTTACTCGTACATACTCGACATTCTGAGCAAACACCTTGCCTTGCTGCTTTCCTGGCACAATCATTCAGAGAAGTGACACTTTGTGGCAAGACGCCTTTTCAAAACGTGGGTCATGAGTATTCATGAGTCGTAGCGTCCAACTTTCAAACTGATATTTGTTCACCCTCGAAGGTACCTCAAAGTCATGTCAGCATTGAAACATATTGAAACAGCTTCAACTTTCAAGAAGTTCACCACAGGCCTCCTCCTCTTCCTCACCTTCCAGGTGGCTGACGGCCGTGCCAGCATGCAGCTGGCCCTGTCAAGGTTTGAAAAACTGATGCAGCAAACAGGAATGCGACACAGGAATTGCCCATAATTGCCCAATCTCATCAATCTCTTGATCGATAGAAGCAAGATGAAACATACTGAAACAGCTGCCTCGCGGTGGTGGAGGATGGAATTCAGCACAATGGCAATACGTGCACCCGCTACCTATTGGAGCAAGTGTGATTCAGATGTTCGAAGCTTCCAAAGGATTATTGCACTGGTGGCAGACGACCACAAGAACGGTAATTGAATGTAATTGATTATCAACGGCAATTGCAGAAATACTCTAAATAGATCTAAATAGACTCTAAAATACTTCTTTGGGAAAATCAGCACAGCTTGTGGACTGCAAAGCAACAAGGTCTCACATGTCTCAGGGTGACAAGATGGTACCAGTAAGGTCTCCACCAGCATTTTCGAGAACATTTCCCGCTTCCACACATCGTAGAGCTGTTCACTGAGCCTATGCCACCAGGTACGCAGACCAAGAAGTCAAGAAGGATAAAAATTTGAAGTGATACATAGTGATACAAAGAAATTGTTGTTCGAACATTGTTTTGTCTCTTTGGACCACACTTGAAAACACCGTTCTGGTCCAGCTCTTCCGTGATCTGCTTTCCGGTGATTGGATTCCTGCAGTGTCAGAGTTGAGCAAATAATTGTGACAATGGGTGCTGTAGAATCTGTACAGAATCTGTAGATGGATATTTCAAACATGTTCAAACAGTACGACGAAGGTTTGCTGCGTCCAAGGCACTTGTAGACAGAGCTACACATGAACTTTGCCGACTCGTCTGCCCAACGATTCAAGAGAAGCTCGTGCTCCTTGACATCTCGAAAGTTGCTTCATGATCTGCAGAAGTTCACTTCAGGTGTTGAGAACTGTTGAGACAGCTGCATAGGCTGCGCCTTCTTAAACTGTTCGCTGTCCTGCTCGTACCTTAAGGTGAATCTTGGTGAATCGTTGAGTCAGCGCCACACCACAACTCAAACAGTGACGAATTGGGCTTGGGCCACCCCGCTCGACCCTTGTGCGCTGCACGTGAGTCCAGCCGCCCCACCAAAAGTGTGGCTCGTTCTTGATGACGCTCTGCACGGGATGGTTGCGGATGATTGCCAATTTGCCAATTCAATTGAAAGATTGTAAGAGGTTTGAAAGATTCAAAGCTCAAAAAATCAAAAGCTCTTTATGCATTGCCTGGGTGAGCTCTTTGTCCCAGACCTGACACAGGTGCTTTTCCAGGTGCTTTGCTTCACACCTATTAGGAGTGGGCCATATCCATACTGAGTCTCAAGCATCATAGAGGGTGGTCTTTTTGTCCCTAAACAAGACCTTGCCCAGGCAGAAAAACTGTCAGCTTATCAGACGTGACGTAGCAGCGCTGAGCAGCGCTTAGCAGCGCTTAGCAGCGCTTAGCAGCATGCAGCACTCAGTGATATCATTGTGGATCCCCTGCCGTAATGTTGCGGCCCATATCTGTGTCCGCCGTGCCGAAGTGCAATGGTTGGGCCATGTCCTGTGAACTGAGTTGAGTCCCAGTTGGGCCCAGTTGGGCCCAGTGCTCTGGAGAAATGCCACGCAGCACCGCAGCACCGCACTGCGCACCCCTAAAAGGTTGATCAAGTACTTCAGGCAGTCAGCATCGGTCAGTTTGATTCCGTCTGGCCTCAGAGACTCGGAGACAGACAACGTAGATCAACGTAGCATAAAACGACTTAAACATTTAAACAATTTTGAAATTTAAAAAAAAAAATACCTTGGGAACTTGGAGCACCATGGAAGCACGACTTAAACACAGTCGTTATGATACGTTATGCACTTCAGAGAGTTTTGAGCTTCGCACCAAGTAATGTCAACCAGGTTTTTGCCTGCGCTTAGTGGCTTAGTCACAGAAGTTTCGTCGGCCACAGAAGTCCCCTAACTCGGTCGAACCTGTGAGCCGGCCGTAGAAATAAAGGATGGCTTTCATCAAGCACCTCAGCCCAGCAAAGTTTGACATGTGAAATCACTGACATATATTTGGTTTATTTTGGTTTATTTTGGTTTATTTTGGTTTATTTTGGTTTATTTTGGTTTATTTTGGTTTGTTCAAGGCTTGTCATATCTTTTCAAGGGATTTCATGGTTGTTCAAATGTTGTTCATGTTCGTCGGTGCAGTTTTGAACCAACTTAGTGCACCACTTGTTGTCGTTGCAGTTTTCAATTTGCGCCTTGTCACACCTCAACAGACCGTTTGTGAAAACGTACTGTGGTCGTCTTGAAAATCATATTTGAAGATGTTTGAAGATATTTCGCTCTGCCTGGTACTAGGCTGCCTTTGGAAGTGCAGCTCAGTGGTCCAAGGGTACTTCTTGTTCACCTGTGGAAATCTGAGAAAATCAGAGAAATCGAAATCTGCAGCGATCAACGAATCTGATCGAAGCCTTGTGAGCCCAGGCTGCCACATCTGCCGCATCCTTTCCACCCATGAGGTGCTTAACCTGGGCCACCTCGGTGACACAGTGCATGTGAAACCAATGCCTCAATGCCTCCGTTCTGCGCCCATCACTTTAGATGTACAAATTTACACATGTATCATGTGTATTCATATGTACACTATGCAGAGCATGTACACTTACATGTTATTGAAACTATTTCTTGAGATTTACATCTACTTTTCGTTGCATATGATATCATGAATTCATATGCCTATTGCTCGAATGCTCTGAATTTCAGTGAGACAAAAATCGAACTGCGTTCAGAGCCTATGTGTTTCAGTGCCGGTTCCCCCAACTTTAAAGTGGGTCAAAATATGGAGCAAAGCGTGGAACTGCCAATATGCATCCTTCTGAACTGACACAGAACCAATGCCAGGAACAAAGGTAAAAAATGGTAAACATGTGTTCAAATTGCTGAGCTATTCGCAGCTGTGGTGTCCAAAGCGCTCATTGTCGTCATGCCAATGGCCTTCCAAATCTTCCAAAGCGTCACCGGAACAGATGGCTCTGCACAGCTTCGTTACACGACTTCGTGGCCAACTGTGTTGTGGGAGGGCCTCGTGGCCATCCTTGTCCCAAGCATGGGCTTGGAAAAGGCACACAGCCTGCAACAACTCGGAGAGCTGAAAAGATCTCAAAAAAAAACCGAAAAAATATGAAGATGCAGTAAACACTGGGCTTCGCGCCAGGCAGACTGGGAAAATCATGTCCACCTCAGTTCCAATCCATCGCGGAGCTTCAAAGAACCTGCGATGACCTTGAAGAAGCCTCCGCTTAGCAAGTATCCTAATAGATCTAATAGGTGTTCCATATTAATTTTCTACCAGTAAGGTGCTCACAGCTCTCAAGCCAACAGCCATGCTGCCGAGGGCTATGGATTTCAGCGGAAACGAAGAGGGATCGATTCTGGAATAATGTTGAATAATGTGGCAGTCATGGCACATGATGTCTATAGCTTGATGTGGAGACTGTCGATGTATGAGGTCGGGTTGATCAATGCCCAGATTCGATGCAGAAAATAGTTTCCCAAATCTTGCGGGCAGAGGTTTGAATTTGCTGTTATGATCCTCTATCATTGCAGGCCAAAGTATGTTTGGATTTGTTTGCTTCACTATGCTTCACTCATATTCTGCGGTTAATCCTGGAGGTCTCATGCTTTCCGTTTTCTTCTCTGTACAACCTCAGCCAAAATCTTGACAAAATGCGTCCCAAATTCAAAGAGATTGCAGTCCCATGCACAAGCCGCATAACCCTTCCAGCTCAAGGTAGTAGTTTATGAAAATGAATCAGAATGATTAAAGATTATTAAAGAGAAAGACAAATAGAACATCCATATTTGATTCAAGGTCTGAACGTCAACAAAATGCGTGAACATCGTGAACTCAACACATCTCTCAACGCTCGTCCTTTTGTCACTCTTTTCGTTTGGTGCGCTTCGCTTTGGGTGCCGCCTGACAGAAGCCACAGATTCTTTCCCACAGCAAAAAGATGCAAAAGGAATGGCTAACTCCCAAAAAACTTGACATCTAGCTGTATTGATCTGCATGGCTTGTCGCACGGAACAACAAAGATTTCCACTGCCTCTGCGTCAGCCTCCTGGGTATCCGTCTCCGGAGTCTCCTTGTCCTTGAGACCTTTAGCGACAAAACATTGTTGACGTGTCGACACCGTGTCGACACCGTGTTGAGTACATTCGACTACTTTTGGAACCACTATTGGAACCTGCATTAGCACTGAGAATTCTGCGCTTCTTTGGCGCCTGGACTGCGAGACTGCAAGACTGGTTACAATTCACATCTGCAAAACGTCTGAAAGGAGATGAGACATACGAGATGATACGACACGGAAAAATACAGAACAAACAAGGTATCTCAACAATCTCCACAAGGCATCTCTGGTGTCACGGACTTGAAGCCAAGATGAGCCAAGCACCTTTTTCTAAATGTCCAAAACCGGGAAAAATGTTCCATGCGTCCATTGAGCTCAGTCTATCACGTCACTGTCACGCTGCGAGCGGAGACATGTAAAGTTAAAGGATTCAATTCTGTGCGGGGAAGTCTTGGTGCTTCTGCACAGAGGTCAAAAGACTGCGCACTTGGAAGCAAACCAGAAAACACACGACAATCTTGACAATCTCCCAACAATTGTTGATTTATGTTGTTAACATGACATGTTGGTTCTCTTGTTTGGCAAAGTTGAGTCTTCAACCCTTTTAAAGCTCCTTGTACCAAGGTGCACCTGGGAGAAGGTTCAGGACCGACCCGCTCAGAAAAAGCCAAAGCGTTTGGAGTCCTGACAGCCCAGCCTCAACTGAACGGCAACTTCAAAGATTTGTTCAGCCTTAAGGGCCTTAAGGGCCTTAAGGGCCTTAAGCCTTTTTTTAGCCTCGCAATTTGCTGCAATTTTGCTGCAATGGCATGCAATGGCAAATTGCGAGCAATGAGAGCAATGAGATCCAGACCCGAAAAGCTTCCCCACCACTTTGGCAAAGTCCTTCTGGAAGAGAGAATCGTCCTATCGGATTCGCCGTTCCCTAAAGCAACAGTTAGAGTAACAGAGTAACAGTTAGAGTAGCAGTGAGAGTAACAGTTAGAGTAACAAAGTTGACATCACATGAACTTTACATGTAAGAAACATGACATGCTCTCTTCGTCTGGCTCCTTGGCATACATCTCCACGTATTTGCGAAAGCTTTTATCCTGATCTACTTGACTCGATTGATAGGGCGATGATCGTTTCAATGTATTGACTGCTTTGTCCTGCTTTGTCCCTGTTTGAAGGTCAATGTCGTTTAGGTTAGGCCTGGATGAGCACAAGGTCAGAGGGGAGCATCATCAAGTCACCTGAGAGAAACCACCGGGGCAAACTCAGGCACTCTTCGAGCAGTGGCGAGGTGAGAGCAGTGAGCTATGAGGGGCAAGATGAGTCCGCTGATGTCCGCTGTCAGGCTGTCAGTGCTTCACAGTATCGGCCCCTGGCCTGTTGGATCTTCAAACTGCAGCGGACCCTTCCAAGGCTGTCCCTTGTGAGTCGTCTTGATGGTCCTGAGAATTTGAGACACATACCCAGGTTATCCAAGCCGATGAAGACACAGATTCCTTTCTCCTCTTAATTCAATCATGTTTCCCTTCCTTTCCCTTCTTTTGTTTCTCAAACCTCATATGTCCTCATGTACTGTATTTCAAATGGATCTGTGCCTCTGCAACCTACGGTAACCTACCTCATACCCATTGGACAAGGCGCCAAGAGTTCTCCAGCAACTCACGATAGTACTCATTGCCTCGGATACTTCTTCCACAAGCGAATCCGTTCAGCAAATGGGCAATGTGACACTCCAAACAGGAACCACCCTGGCTTACAGCACCCTGACCTGTGATATAAACTGATCATGTGCACATATATATATATACATATATATATATATCATATATATCATATTATATCATATATGACATATCATATATGTGCACCAAATAGCCGTACCCAAATGCCCAATCATGGCAGGAAATCACCGACGCGATGTTGGATCCACCGGGTTTCACCGGGCACCGAGGCCAGGCACTCACGGTGGTGGGTGCCCGTGTCCATGGACCCCAGAAGCCACTGCGATCAGTGTGGCAAGCGCCCAAGCCATGAGCACCACTCAAAGCTACAATCTCCTCATCTCAATCATCTCACTCTCGATCTCGATCTCTATGATTTTTTAAGCTTTGTAAAAATATTTCACAGATTTTCAAAGTATGGAAAGCTGACGGATGCTGACAGTCTGACAGTATGCTGACAGTCATCATGAGATTCTGCAAGGATTGGTTTCTTCGGTTCCGTTGGACACAAACAGCTGCTGCTTCACTGCTTGTCCTGGTCATTGAATCCCATTCCTTAGTGTTCAGGCGCCCGTGGAAATCCAAAAACATCATCGGAAAATGACGGACCCGTGACTACATAGAAAAAGCTCCGCATGAAAGAAACTGGCAGGCCACCATGTCCCAAAGCATTGACCCGCTTGGTTTTTGCCGGTGAAAGATGAAGCCACCTTTGGCTTCCTTCGTCACGCGACTGAACATGGGGCTCTGCAATGCTTCCAGCAGTGCAGATCTATGAATTTGTTTGTTCTTGCTGCACAAATATGTCATGGCCACAAGAGATTTGTCCAACTTTATAGCAAGTGGAAGGCTTCAAGAAGGAATTTGCTGCTGAATTAAGCTGAGCAAATTTCAACAGGAACCATTTATGCATCGTGCCTTTCTCAAAGCCAAGTTGGACCGGGAAATCCCATCGCCCGCGACAAGTCTGGAAAAGTCTGAAGAAAAAAACCAGACAAAAAGACAGAGGCGGATGGATCGGATGGATCGGATGGATCGGATGGATGTTGCCTCTCTGCTTTGCAGGTTAGCCACACCAGAGGTCTGTGCACTTTACATCTCTGTGCATCAGTCGCTCTTTGCTCTTTGCCACTAGATCTCACTCGCAGTCACTAGCACCATGTGATACCATGTGCATAGAGCGTATCATTTGCACCCAGTGCATACAGTGCACCGAGTGCATCAAAACAACCAGAAACAGATCCGATAGGGTTCCACACTGGTTGGGTCTCAAAGAAGGACGTTCATCTTTCGTCCGAAAGCGTGGTCGGCATAAAGGCAAGATCAACTGACCTCAGAAGAAAGTTGCGGGTCAAATGGAAGTAAAACAAGAGTGTTTCGGAACGCCTTGACAGGAGCGAAGACAGAAATAGTTGTTGGACGATTGTATCTTAAAAAGTTTTGATTTGCACCCTGCATATCATTTGCATATCATGTGCTCTCGATGTCACAGATCTCTAGACGCGCTGAGTCACAGCAAGGACGCACGGACTTTCGCTGAAGCCTCGGGTCCAGCTCCACCAGGCCCAGGCTCAGCTCCGGCGTCCGGCAGTTCCATTAGAGGAAGAGTCGCTTGAAGGCCTCAGAGGAAGTTTCCATGGATATCCGGATATCCATGAATTCCTGTCTGAATCCTAGTGAATTCTATTAGAAATGAAACATCAGAAGGCTTCTACAATTAATGTCCAGATGTCCAGCGCTTTTCACACGGATCTGTGGGGATTTGAAGACGAACTTCTCGTCCAAGACCTTCTGGAAACAATTTATGCTTCGTCACTTCGTCTTATCTGTAAGAAAAATCCGCTACCAGCCAATCCAACACATCAACGCTGTTGGCCAAGTCACTGGAAGGTGGCTGCTCTGGTGGCTCATCAACTCCTCTCTCCACTGACCGGCGGAAGGTGGGTTCCTGCCAGCAGCTGCTATTGAGCAAATCTCAGCAACTCCAGTGTGGTTGACCCATCATTAGAAACCAAAAGAACAGCAGTGTAGTTTGGGATCCATACCATAACCATGGTAGATATGAGAGTGCTTAAGGTTCTTTGCAGCAAACCATGAAGCTCTTGCATGGTTACTTGTTCTTCAATTTCGGAAAGATTCTGGCAAGATAAAGAAGTTGCTTTGATACCAGACCTTGACGCTATGTGAAGTTATGTGAAGAGTTGAATTACATCTCATGATTTTACTTCGATGAAAATTAATAAACGTATATAAACGTAATATAATTTAACATAATGAAGAGCATTGCTGCAGCATTGCCATCGAACTCCTCCATGTACAGCGCCATTTCGGCCCTGAATGCATCTCGCGTGGACTCGAAGTTCTGCTCCATGTCTTCCTTCATCTCCTCAACCTGTCAGCTCAGCTCCGTCAGCGTCACATATCCCGTTTCACATTGCCTTCACATTGCCTTCACCACTTCTGTTCGTTCCTGTTTGCTTCTCCTCTTAATTTCACGGTGATCTCACAATGATCTCACAATGATCTCACAAATCGATGTCCTCAATGAAGTCGTGAGTTTCTACCGGGAGTGACACATGGGAGAGACTCTGAGACTTAGTTCGCAACAATGCGCTGAACGGCTTTGGTCGCCAGCAATGATGCCACAGTGTCCTGGGTACTGTACAGTTGAAACACGATGACAAGATATGACAAATTCATACTGTTTCGATCATTCCACGCCAATGACGATGTGAACCATTTGCCACCTGCACCTAAACTATGCGTGATAATGCGGCATTGTGTTTATATAAGCTTGGCTGTAGTTGGCAATGGTCAGATTTGTCCGAGCCACGCTCTTGCTGATGTCCCCACGAATCTTCAATAACCCCTGCAGCCGCAAGATGAATTGTAATTAAAGGCTCGTTTCATGTTCCTTCCGAACAAGGCAATGCCTCTAATTGACACAAACATACCACGTGACTTGTTGAAACACCGCGGTTGCGCTCTTAGTTCGATCTTGTTCTGCACCACTGTACCATGTAGTCTATCAGCCTGCACGAGCTCAGTGATTTGCAAAGTTCCGCTACCTGCGGCCGGTGAACAGTCCTGCTTTCCACCAGTGAAATCCAAACAGACTTGGCATCCTCAATCAAAATTGTCACTGGCATTGGCTTTGTGCATAGGTGTTGAAAGAGCATTCAAATGAATTCAAATGATTCAAATGGGGTTTTAACAGCTGTTCACAGGGAGTGTCCAGGCAAAGTGCCTTCCTTTGTATCATGCAACAATCAGGCCATCAGTAACAATGCTTGTCTTTTCATCCCAACAAAAAACATATGGGTACAAGGCGCCATCTGCATCGATCACTTCGAAGAGATTGGCGCGGTCTGGTGGTAAATCCAAATCGTCCATGAGCGATTGAACACTGTGGTCTTGGATGACCTAGAACAACAATAAAAATAAATAATAATAACAGAAAACATCCAACAAAGACAGACAAGACTTCGAACTTTCGAAAACCTCGCAAAACATGTCCTTGATTGCAGACAAGAGACCACCAAAAATAGTTCCTTTGAGATTTCGATCTGGTCACGCACGTCGTCATCAGTGAACAGCGCAGGCATTGGATTGAACTCTTTTCGGTTAATGTTGCCAATATCAATGGTTTCTTCCATGAGAAGAAACTCTCGATGGGCAGCAGCAAACCTCAATAGAGCATCAGGATGCATCAGGTTGAATGTGCAGCACGTCTTATGTTGTTTCATGTGTTTTCATATTTTTCGTGTATTTTTCTGTCGTTTTGACCGACGAAAAAATGGAAAGATATGGAAAGTATAGCCCGGGATAGCTGGGATGCGGAAGTTTCAAAAACAAAACAAGACCAATAGAAATGAGACGTGACATGACGTGACCACCAAGCCTCTGAATGATTCCCCACCTTTGCGCGAGTTTTTTGCGCGTTTTTCTTTAATCCCGCCTCCTCCCTCTGCCTCCTCCTTCCGCCTCCTCCCGCTTACTCCTCCTCATTCTAACTTATCTCATCTCTATCAAATTTGTCTCTATCAAGTTTATAGTAATTCATGTCTGTCAGAATTTGTCTCTGACATAATCTGTCACAGCCTTGGTGCGTGTCAGCTGCGTCTCTTGTAGCAGGCGTGGCCCCTCGTCACTCTCGTGGTTCGCTGGCCCTGCCTATCTCTACTAAATCTGTTTCTACCAAACTTATCCCTGCAAATCTAACCTCTACAGGAATTGAACTCATCTCTACCAGACCTAGCTCCACCAAACTTATTTCTATCAAACTTATCTCTATCAGACTTACCTTGACAAACTTATCTCTGTCAAACCTATTTCTATCAAAAATCAAAATTGTTCTTTGTCATATTTCATCTCATCTCTCTCAAGCTTTTCTCCGCCAAACTTATCTCCATGAAACTTATCTCTAGCAAAACTTTTCACAGGGTCCGCATCGATCGCTTGCGCCAGGAAGTGCGTCCTTTGCATTCAATAATTCATGCAAGATCATTCCCAATGGTCACTGTGGTCGTATTCTTGCATTATGTTTGTGCACGTTTGTGCCACTTGCTGCCTTGCCGCAAGATTTTGTGAACGTATCCGTCCATGAATCGAAAATGTCTCGTCTAAACTTCTTGCACAATCACGTGACCACGAGGGTCTGCTGCTACGTAGGGCTCGCAAAATCATAGTTGTGATCTTGCTGAACCACGCATTGTGAAGTATGCAAATGTTGCTGAACCTTCACAAATTTCACATCCAAATGACTTCTTCAGAAGCTCCCGAGTGGTTCGAGCTATGCGGATGGATTCTCTGGCATACTGTTCAGCTGTGACGGCCTCATTTTCCTGCAAACGGACTTCCGCTCAGAGAATACAGGAAGGTTTCCCAGGACTCAAACATAGTTTTCTTGTGATTGAAACAAACATGTTGAGAATCACATGCAGCATGTACCCATATGTGTATGCACAGCACCACTGACAACATGAACTCGCTCTCTCTCTCTCTCTCTCCTTCGCAGCTTTCATGGTGATGTCAACCTCAGTACAATCAATTCACAAGTGTCACAAGTCTCCTTGGTAGCCTTGGTACACCCTTTCCGTGTTTCATTCGTTACGTCATGTTACGTCAACCCACTTGATTCACTTGATTCACTTGATCCTCCATATCAATCCGAGTGTCATAGACAGCGAGGATGACATTAAAGATGCCCATCGTGACAAGCATATAACCTTGTCCAAATTTCATGATGCTGCAAGCATGACATATGAGAATGTAATAACAAGATTAAGCTGCAAAGAAAAGTTGGTTTTGGTGTGCATATGTCCAAAAGGCTCAGTCGCAAGCTTACGAAGTCACAAGTCACGACTGTATGTTTCCAAGTCATGCGCATCCGCATGGTCTTGGGCATTGAAACAAGGATTCGCTTCAAACCGCAGACTTGGCATTCCATTTGGCACAAAACCTCCACCACCAGCCAAGTCTGATTTCTGATTTGCGTCAAGGCCGCTAGCAACAAATCCCAGTATGAAGGCTACACCAAACTCGTCAGCTAGGACAGATGTGATCGAGTGTCCTGGCAGAACTGCAGTTTTTCGGCAGCTGGGCTGGGCAAATCTGCACTGTTTCGGCAGCAAGGACCAGGGTCGGACCAGGGTCCTTTATCATTCACGCACTCCCCTGTGAAGCAGCGAAACGCTGTGAACATGGTATTCGGGATGGTCTCGAAGTAGTGCTGCAAATCCACTTCCACTGTCCGTGGGCTGTTACCTGGCATTTGAATGCATTTGACACGTTTGTAGTCAAAGATAAACTGGATGTTTTATGATGTTCTCTCCTGGCAGAATCCACCCAGCTGGTTGCCTATAGTCATCGTGGCAAAACCAGACAGCACATACAGAACCTTGCAGCTTGGAAAGGCATGGAAAGGCCAAGGTTTTCCCATCGTACTTGCTTTGCTAAATCCATCAGAGCAACTGCAAATAATAACGTGAAGGCAAGCGCCAAAGTGCGAATTCCAGCAATCCTGAGCAAACGGGATCTTGTGTGAGAGCAAATACGCTGTCTCCACTTTGGTGCAACCGTTGCCTTCAACGCGGCTCCAATACAACAAGAGCATTTCCATCTGGCTAAATTGCACCATTCCTATCTTTAAAATATCCCAAACAAAACAGGATCTTTTTCCCTCCACAAAGTTTGCGTTTTGTTGTAAGTCCCAAGATCTCTTTCTGGGCCCCACTTAGCCTTATACCTTGCTGCCAAGAATCCATCCCTTCACCATCAGGCGGAGGTCTTTCATAAATTTCAGGCGAAATACCTTCACTATCCTGGCTCGACGCCATGGCAGATTCATGCGCCAACAAACACCAGAACTGACTAAGAGTCTTTGATCCATTCACAGCTGTCCTTGCCAAGCGGATCAATCGACAAAATCGCAGCAATGATGTCCCAAATATATCTGAGTTTTTTGAGGATGCCTCATCCGTCATGAGCACAGGGACAATGTTTGACGGACAACGGATCAGTCCTGCATTTGGTTGTTTTGTATGTATGTACGTCAATAAGTAGCTAGGTAGGTAGCTAGCTAGCTAAGGTGCAGATCTGATTGGCGTTGGTTTCAGGGGAAAACCAAAGGTGCAAGTGCCGCTGCCCGGCAGGGCTGGGTTGGAGGAGGAGGACAGCTACCTTTGTCAGTATGTATGTATGTAGGTAGGTATGTATGTATGTATGTATGTATGTGTGTGTATGTGTGTGTGTATGTGTGTGTATGTGTGTGTATATGTATGTGTATGTATGTGTATGTATGTGTATGTATGTGTATGTAGGTGTATGTATGTATGTATGCATGCATGTATGTATGTATGTATGTATATTTATATATGTATGTATATGTATATGTATGTATGTATATGTATGTATATGTATGTATATGTATGTATATGTACATGTATATGTGTATGTATGTATGTATGTATGTATGCATGCATGTATGTGTGTATGTGTGTATGTGTGTATGTGTGTGTGTATGTATGTATGTATGTATGTATGTATGTATGTATGTATGTATGTATGTATGTATGTATGTATGTATGTATGTATGTATGTATGTATGTATGTATGCGTGTATGGATGTATGTATGTATGTATGTATATGTGTGTATGTATGTATGTATGTATGTATGTATGTGTATGTATGTATGTATGTATGTATGTATGTATGTATGTAAGTATGTGTATGTATATGTATGTATGTGTATGTGTATGTATGTGTATGTATGTGTATGTATGTGTATGTATGTGTATGCATGTATATATGTATGTATGTATGTATGCATGTATGTATGTATGTGTATGTATGTGTATGCATGTATGTATGTATGTATGTATGTATGTATGCGTGTATGGATGTATGTATGTATGTATGTGTGTATGTATGTATGTATGTATGTGTGTATGTATGTATGTATGTATGTATGTGTATGTATATGTATGTATATGTATGTATATGTATGTATATGTATGTATATGTATGTATATGTATGTATCTATATGTATGTATATGTATGTATATGTATGTATGTATATGTATGTATGTATATGTATGTATGTATATGTATGTATGCACGTACCAATGTACGGGGGAAAGGTGCATGCTGTTGCCACCCACTAACCTGCTGCCCTTTCATCCAAGCGACCAATTGCACACTTACATCGGTGACGCCAGTGCCAGCCAAAAATAAATCAAACCAATTCCACCTCGCAGTTGTTGAATGAAACGTTAAGGGATGTGGAAGCAGGGAAGCACATGCTACGTGAAGAAACCTCCGCCAACGCTGAAACCTTCTGAACCGTCACACGCAGCAAACACTCGGGGCTGGAAGACGCTGCACATTCCATGATGTCATGACCATATCAAGTTCACTAGGGCGTTTCAAAGCTTTAGTGACTTTAGTGTTTTAGACACGGAATTTCTATATCGTGTTGCCACAATACGTTCATGCGCTAAATGCTCAGCCTGTTGCGCCAAGGTGCCACTTTTCTACTCCGCACCAATAATTCCGACACCGAAGCAGATGCATTCGGAGAACGATTTCGACAAGCAGAATGACTGTGAAGGACCTTGGCTCACTGCACACCAAGCAATCTCTTAGAATATACGGAATTATACGCACTTTATACAACAATTTGTTGCTTCACTGAAGCCGTTTTGGAGATTGTGGATGGGAGGGGAGAAGGCACGCAACCTGTTTCTAGGGTTGCACCCAGGGATCATGTCTGTTTATTGAAAAGAAAGCAGGTCTGGAGTCCTAAAGCAAAAGGTATGGGAAGGCAAAGCGCCTCGCCCCAAAGTCCAACAAAAGGAATCCTGTCGTCTTTGTAATTCCTGTCGCTTTCGAGTTCAACAACCAAACTGACGCTATATTTACCTGCGTATGTTACGCATGGAATGCAACACCTGCAACAAATCACCCGCCACAATTTGAGCAAATCACGGATCACCCTGGCACTTGCCGAATCAACATGTTCAAAATCATCAACTGATTCTTGCCGTGAAATGTTCTTCTCTACAACGTATGCAAGTAAAGCCCATCACGAAGTACGACATGCTGCGCCGCACCCATCATGAAATCTTAAACTATACACCAAGGATCAAGCGGTCTTCACCACACGGGCGGTGCGAACTTCTGACCTACTGAGGGGCTGGTTTGCATAGCCTTGCTTCTGGTCACTGTCACCTGAGAATTTGACAGGACCTTCCTTTCCCTTTTTGTTTCTTTCCCTTCAGTGGATCCAATTTCATTTTTTCCCATTGATGTTCAGGGCAGGAGTCCGCTCTCATCGATCGTTTGCTTTTGGTTTCCCTTCGGACAGCCGCGAAGGTGGCTTCCATGTGTGGTCCTCCCACACACGCCTCCTGCCTCCCTGGGTGGGCCCGACTGGCCATTCCAGGGGGAAACCCGCCCAGGGAGGTCTGTGAGTCTGTTTCCTTTTTGCCATGTAATTTCCTCACCAGACCCCTCAAGGGAGCGGTCTGTTTCTGATGTATTACTTGAATATTACCATCGGGTTAGTGTTTTGATGTGTTTTGGAAGGTTGCATGGTAGCTGTGTGCCTGCTTGCCTGGTTGCTCCCTTGAGGGCTTGCTGGACCTACCCGACATACCTTCAAGTTTTTCATCGATCCATTCACTACAGCCATCAAGCTGTATGCCCTTGTATGTGTACATGTGGAGAGAGGTTGTGGTGAACATATATCCGAAACTATTTGAGCATCCTTGCAGCCTGACAGGAGACATGTGCAAGGTGAAAACGTATTGCATTTGAACACTGGTTGGGGGGTCCTCCAATCGTTCCGTGATTGTCTGGCACAGGCTAAAAGGCAGTTGTCACGCCGCCAAAGGCAGCCGCAAAGCGCTGTCAAACCAACAGGGCATGAATCTTCGCTTTGGCAAACGCGATAAGAATATCCAAGCGCCACAAGACTCGGGATACAACTGGACCGGCATAGCTGCACAGGCTCAAGAAAAGAGCGCCAGCAATTACCCTGTAAACCGCTAAGCAAGACTTGTTTTGAATCCATGCAACAGCCCAAGGAGCTATGAAACAACTTGCAGGTTTTACTTTTCCTCCAGCGATTTTATATTCCTAAATTCTGGATCCATTTGGCGGCAGGAAAGAAACGAGTTCGGGTCCCGTTTCCATCCTAAAGAAACAGAAGAAGGGCCAAGCTCAGACACATGACCGATTCCAACCGCCTTTCCAATGGAATTTGCGTCCAACACTACTGAGCCAGTGCTTCATTGCTCTGCCGGGGCACAACTCGAACCAGACCCATCCAGGCCAGTTCTCAAAGAGAGGGTCAGTTTGAAAGCCAATCCTGGCACGTCCCGAAAGGAAACCAAACACAGCTCCAACGATGAGAAGAAATCGTGACCCACCTCCACTTGGGGGCAAAACTTTGAAGCATCATCCAAGACACATAACGCCGTTTCCGATGATCAGCAAGCCAACAAACGGCTCGATGTACCTGCAAGTGCAGCAGCAACATCGGTGCGTCTGTGCGCTCAAACACGCCAACTACGCTCAAACAATTTCTGCTGCGTGCACGATCCTCCTTGCTTAAGGAACTGTGTTCATGCCCAGGCACATAAGCGGGTGCGTAGGCTCTGGCGGTGTTGCAAGATCATTAATGCGCACGAAGGTCAGCTCAGCCACGAGGCCTAAGGAGCGATCATTGATGCTCAGCAAAAAATGTAACGAAACAAAAGAATATATCTCAGTTCTGGTCAGCTTGATGATGTTCAATGCCCAAGCAGTTGGGAACAAGCCCATCTTCTTTCCCGGCTGAGGTTGACTGACATGAGCGTTCAAGTTTTAATCACTAAGTAGTAATGTTAAACCATTTGAAGAAACTGGCGCAAAAACCTTTTCGAATCTTGGCAGGATCCGTTTGACTCGCCGCCACGCAAAGCTCAAGGGCCCTAAAGGTTTAAGCCAAAAGGTGCGTGACACTAGGTTCATTCACAACTAGGCTTCTCTAAGACCTTTTGTACGACAGCGTCGAATCACACCTTTCCCAATAGTTGTCTGTCCACCATACAAACACATCAAACACATCTGCTTTCTCAAGTAGTTTTAAAAATTTTGAAGGCAAGCTTCGATTGGTATCACCAGCCAATAGAATTTCTTTCATGGCTTGAAACTGCGTGAGCAAGCGTGGCGCGAATAGCCTGACGTTGAGGCACAGGCAGTACAGAACGTTGCAGGGAAGACAGCAATGAGAAATGCTATGACTGACTCTGTTCTGACTCTGTTCTGACTCTGTTCTGACCCCTATGGCTCCTATGGCTCTTATGACCTATTTCATTCATATCACATATTCCTTTGAGGCTCAAATAAATCTCATTTTGGATCAGATGGATCAGATGGATCACGTTTCCGTGGAGCCTTTTGTGAATCAGACCCTCTTCGGACAGGAAGAGCTCCATCAATGCCTGTGCTGGCACCACATTGAAGGCTTTCCTGCACCGCCGCCGAGATTTGGATTTAACCAGCTGAAACGCGGGCATCATATTGCCATCAGACATATATTCCCCATATCTTTCCATCAGACATATGTACACAATGAATCACAAAGATAATATATATATATATCTATATATACGTACATACACCATTATATATATACCATACAACATTATACATCACGACACACTGTGTTTCTGGATGCAAAAAAAATACGTTACTTCGTGTGATCCCCACCATGACATTTATACATTTTCTTACTGGCAAATCTTCTGGCATTCTATCTGACATATCTTCTGGCATTCTATCTGGCATTCTATCTGGCATATCTTCTGGCATATGTTCTGGCATTCTATCTGACATATCTTCTGGCATTCTATCTGGCATATCTTCTGGCATTCTATCTGACATATCTTCTGGCATTCTATCTGACATTCCATCTGGCATATCTTCTGGCATTCTATCTGACATATCTTCTGGCATTCTATCTGACATTCCATCTGGCATATCTTCTGGCATTCTATCTGGCCGTTGAGGTCCGGCAGTGCCCACTGGGATCTGGAGCTCGTGGTTGAGGTCCGGCAGTGCCCACTGGGATCTGGAGCTCGCGGTTGAGGTCCGGCAGTGCCCACTGCGACCTGGAAGTCCCGGTTGAGGTCAGGCAGTGCCCACTGCGATCTGCAACTCGCGGTTGAGGTCCGGCAGTGCCCACTGGGATCTGGAGCTCGCGGTGGAGGTCCGGCTGTGTGCACTGGGATCTGGACTGCGAGGAGGAGGCGGCGGGTGAGGAGGCGGAGGAGGCAGAGGAGGCGGAGGAGGCGGAGGAGGCGGAGGAGGAGGAGGAGAACAGCTCTGATAAAATCTAACAACCCTGACCCTCACCTGGCAGGTGGGGAATTAACATCTCTGGTCCTGGGCTTAAAGGATGTCACCGCAGTCACGTTCTGCATGGACTTCCGCAAGGATTTCGAAGCTGCAGGCCAACTCCACAGAGGAGTGCCATAGTGCATATCATTCCTTGTCAAAGTGCAAAAAAAAGATACGCGCACCACCGTTCCTACATCCGAAAAAATGAAAAAAAACACGTGAATTGCATTCTGCATCAATTTCCAAAGCAAACCTATTCCAGAAGCTAAATGAATCGAATTTCACTGTGCTCATGGTTTGTTCATGTTTTGTTCATGTTTGTTCACTGGTGATGTTTCGAGATGACGAACTCTGCGTTCGCATTTCGGTGCCAAGTCGGTGCCAAGTTGCTCAAAGGTTCCGGAGCCGTCACCCCGACTGTGCCGGCCATCTGGTAGGAAGTCCAGCTCGATAAAGTCAGCCACGGTGTTCACAAAGTCGTTCATATCCTGCTTGCAGCAGACTTCCAAAGACTTCCAAAGACTCCAAGGCATCGGATTTTCACAAGTCAAAGAGATTCAAAGAGAATATAGACATGGCGGTCTGTTCCGTGTTCCGATCAAGGGATGTCAAGGGCAATCTGAAGGAATTGCACTTTTCACGTGGTGTCACCGCCCTGTCGGTCTAGTACGCGTCACTCTGTGGACAATACTCTATTCATCTCTATTCAACACAACCAGTCTTTCTGCCAATCGTCATACGGGTGACGCGAACTCACTCGCCCATGCCTTTACAGTGTAACGCGTGAGGCCCAAGGCTGCCTCCAAAGAGCATTTTCACAGCGTCAAGAAGCATCAGCAGAGCAGAATCAGCAGAGAGCAAAACATCAAAGTGCTCTTAACAGTTTTAACATTTCCCACAGTGTGGTCACCTGGTCACCAGTCACTGCACCATGTCATTTGACACAAAAGAATCCTCTCAGCACAGCAATGAACTCTGCAAGCCCTGGTTCCAAGCCATGCTGCTACGGCGTCATGCAGCGACTGGCCGGAGACAAGTTTCCTGAAACAACTGAGACAGAGACAACTGCACTTCAAATGAATCTATCTGGATCTATCTGGACAATTGACAATGGATTCGTTTGGATGTTTTTCCCCCCAATCGCAGATAGACTGGATAGACTTTATCCGATAGACTGAGACACGGAAAAAGTTTACATGACACAAGACACATCAAGACACAAGATGTCACAACACACAATGGAGGCTCGACTGTAGCCAGGTGGCTGAGCCGAGATCGCACCGAGTCGCACACGCAATCGCTGACTGGTTTGAAGCGCTTCTTGAGGATTCATCCCTTTCCTCTGTCAAGATCTGTCAAGTGGTGGTCAGGGGAGGGAATTCAAAATGTTGTGATGTTGTGACATGTTGTGACATGTTGTGACTCCTGTCGATGACTAGCGTTGAGGTTGAAATATATGCTTACACAAAGCTCTTACTAGAATTTCTATTACATCTTTCAATGCTTCATCGGTTCACACAAGTTGAGATTCTGAGATCATCTCGTTTCTTCATTCTTTCAATTTTCTATGTTCATTATTTCTGTGTTTTTCTTCCAATATGTCCTGTTCTTTATGCGTGCTTTGTTTATTCGTTCTGTGCTTTTCTTGCGCTGTGGCACAGTCCGGACCGCAGCGTGCGCGGGCTCTGCGAGGCCAAGTAGACGTCCTATGCCATGCACACCACAGCAGAAATCGAGAGTGTTGTACTTGAGATTCACATAAAATGACATATCAGATATCGGTACTCGGGTAAAGACTGGTAAAGGTACATTTTGCATCTCGGAAATGTCTTAGAAAGTTCCACCAGATTGATTTCTTCACATTTTCTTCACATTTTCTTCACATTTTCTTCACATTTTCTTCACATTTTCTTCACACTGTTCATTTCTGCCTCAAGTTTGATCAAACGTTCAATGCCGGAAATGGCAAGGGCCTCATCAATCTCTGTGATTGAGCTCACTTCACTCAGTTGATCGCGCTTTTTGCCCTTGACACTATCCACCTTGCAGTGGTAAGCATGGTAAGCAACGATGCAAATCCAAGCATTGCTGTGCATTGCTGTCACCTGGATAACAACTTCCATAAGACACTGCGGCGTCACTGCGGCACTGCGCCTTGCTGCTCTTCGCAGAACTCACATGGGACACCGAAGTCTCTTCAGGAACATCAGGAACTTCAGGAAAGGCCTGACACACCGTGAGGTATGCGACACAAGAACAGGATCAGGTTTGACATCGGCAAGAGCTCAACTTTGTGCTTCGATGTTTTTTTCGGCAAAGGGTGGACACCTCAATATGGTGAAGATTGGTGAAGCACAAGGCAATACAAAGCACCTCCAAGATCTGCTGTCGTAGGGTGGACAGCGAGTTGTCCAATACTTTGGCAAAGGCATCTTTGTCCATAGCGCACAGGACGCACAAGGCGCACAAGGCGCACGAAGCGCACCAGGGTTCAGGCCCCAAGTGTATCAATGCTGCAACGTATTTGGCAGGACTTGATATGACTGGATATGACTTCATTGCTTTACAATACTTTACCCTCAGCTGCAAGTCAGCAACATGGTTCCTGGACTTTGGTGGGCTTGTGTTCCAAGCAATTCCAAACAACAAAAACACCTTGGTTGTGGCCCTACGTAGTCCTCTCTGCAATGCTTGAACCCCTGCAGACACAGACAGTTTGGCAGTTTGGCTTATGGGAGCATCTTGTCAGCCTTGCCCCTGTGCCCCTGGCCCACCTTGGTCCAAACCCCCAAAAAAAATCTTGTTGCAAGCTGTCGTCCCCAGAGTGTCCATGTGACCATCCGGGGTTAGGCAAGTCTTCGGCTACCGGGCAAAACTTTAAACTGGGCAGAATTCCATCTGTCTAGCTTTGCCAATCTCCAAGTCACTGTTGAAGATCAGTCGCAAATGCGATGCAGTCTTGTCTGGGCTGCCCATATCTGCACTTGGCAAACGGCCATCCTCGTTTCATGACAACAATTGGATCTTTCAGGTGATCCATGTGGTCTAGACGAATGTCCGACATGTGTGGGGATGATTTTCAGGGGATGAATCCGGGATGAATCCGGGATGAATCCAGGAACGGGAGACATCAACACGAGTCAACACGAGTCAACACGAGTCAACACGTCAAGATCATCAAGATCAAGACTTCTCTGACTTCTCCTTGCAGGTTGGACCATCCCAAGCAGGGCATTCACTGCCGCTGGATTTGTCTTTGCGGCCTGGTGCGAAGGGCACCTGCGAACAGCGGACGTAGCGGACCGTGAAATACCGTGAACCCCCAGGACTTCCAGCAAAGTACATAAAAATATCACAAAAATATCAAAAAAACACAGATACCTTAGGATTTCACTGGTCACAGGTTTGGGCATCTGGCAGACCCCAAGTAACTTTTCGGACCATCAACATCTGTTCAAATTTGTCCAAACAAATTGTAGCCAAAGTGGCTTTCTCACCACCCATTTCTTCGATTGCGACGCATGCGGCATAAATCCACAAGTCGGAATAGGAGACTGCAGGAAATTTATTCTTCACCTCAGAGTTCAGGAACATTCAGGAACATTCAGGGAACATTCAGGAACGATGGATTTGAACGATGGATTTGAGCGAAACATCCACCAACTCACCGGGGCAAGGCCAAATACTGCCGTCCGACTTGTCTTGCCGTGTCACTGGCTCCAACATCTGTTGTGCCAATTTCAATCCGGCGTTGGCACCCCACGAGACTTCTGGCTTAAAGCGCATCGTGGCACCGTTGGACCTGGCAGATCTGTGATCTGAATCTACGTGGATCTCTCAATGTCAGCCCTCAGCCCCCCTTATCTCCAAGACATCTCCAAGACATCTCCAAGACATCTCCCGTTTAGAGCTTTGGCTTTGATGGTCTGGACACTGGACTCTGAGGGCCTGGCCCACCGGTCTTGGTCTGGCCGCAGAAAGTGCCTGCCGAGTGCCAGGCCAAGCGCAACAGCAAAGGGCCAGGTGTGGCACCGTCATAGGACGAGTCCTTCACCGAGTCAAAGTCGTCCATCGTATGTTTCACAGTTTTGACATCCAACAAACATCGTCAAACATCGTCAAACATCAAAAATCCTTAAGAAATGTTCTAAGGCGATGATTGTAATCATGAGATTCAAACTGATTCAAACTGATTCAAATATCTCATGAATATCTCATTGTTTTTTGATGTCGGTGTCGGTGTCCTTGTATTTGTCATCCTCCAAGATCTTCACGATCTCCTTGTGCACCTCGTCCCAATTCACGTCTTCCTTGCACCTGCACGGAAAACATGAGACAAATTGATGGTTGATGAGCCTTCTGCAGGTGCAATTGGATTTGGACTTCAGAAACCATGGAAACTATCTGAATCTATCTGAACCTATCTGAGTCTCACTGAATCTATCTGAATCTATCTGAATTGATAGCAGGATTAACCCATAGCTGCCATAGCTGATATGTAGGATAATTCCGGATAGTATTCTGTAGGGTATTTAAAAATTTAGGAAACACAAAAGATCATAAAGGATCAACACATATCGACACTATGAAACGTCGGTCCAAGGCACCAAGCTGGCTTTGCCCATAGGCCGCCAATGCCGGCGCCCATCACAAGTGCAGCTGCATGAGGCACCCGCTTTGACTGAATTGCCTCACGAAATGATTTTGACACAGTATGACATAATCAGATTGACACTGACATGAGAATGAGATTGAGCCAGTCTTTGATCCAGACTAAGTTGGTCATCTAAGTTTGGTTGCATGATCTCTCTATTTCTTACTAGCACAAGTGCGGCTCCACAACTGCAGGCGCACCTGGGCCCTCGTCAGCTGCGCCACACGGCGCACGATCATTCCTGGCCAAAGCTCAGGTTTATAAGAGACATATAGAGACATCGACAGGCGAACGAGTCCGAACGATCTGTTCATTGTGGAGTTGCGACAAGAAAAGATTGGAAACTTGAGGCCGGGGGTGGATGACGAAAGCTAGCGGGGTAGGAGAAAGAAGGAAGGGAAGAGGTGAGTTGCGGAGGGACTGTCATCATCGTGTCGCGGCATTGTTCGTCCCAACGAGGATGCAACAATGATATATTGATATATGATATATAACAATGATATATAGGGGGGAGGGGGCAGGGGGGGGCCCTTTCGCGGGAAAAATCACGTGATGTCCTTGGGGAGCCCCGGAATACGTGCTAAAGCAAGAAGACTCTAGCGAGCTGACGCTAGCTTTCGTGATAATGACAATAATTGCCAATAATAATAAAATGTAATTGAATAACGATGATGATGATGATGATGACGATGATGATGATGATGATTATGATGATGAATGATGAATGATGAATGATGAATGATGAATGATGAATGATGAATGATGAATGATGAATGATGATGATGATGATGATGATGATGATGATGATGACGAGGACGCGGACGAGGACGAGGACGATGGAGAGGACGATGACGATGATGATGACGATGATGATAGATAGATAGATAGATAGATAGATAGATAGATAGATAGATAGATAGATAGATAGATAGATAGATTAGATAGATAGATAGATAGATAGATAGATAGATAGATAGATAGATAAGATAGATAGGATAGATAGGATAGATAGGATAGATAGGATAGATAGGATAGAGAGGATAGAGAGGATAGATAGGATAGATAGGATAGATAGGATAGATAGGATAGATAGGATAGATAGGATAGATAGGATAGATAGGATAGATAGGATAGATAGGATAGATAGGATAGATAGGATAGATAGGATAGATAGGATAGATAGGATAGATAGGGTAGATAGGATAGATAGGATAGATAGGATAGATAGGATAGATAGGATAGATAGGATAGATAGGATAGATAGGATAGATAGGATAGATAGGATAGATAGGAAGATAGATAGATAGATAGATAGATAGGTAGATAGATAGATAGATAGGATAGATAGGATAGATAGGATAGATAGGATAGATAAGATAGATAGGATAGATAGGATAGATAGGATAGATAGGATAGATAGGATAGATAGGATAGATAGGATAGATATGATAGATATGATAGATATGATAGATATGATAGATATGATAGATATGATAGATATGATAGATATGATAGATAGGATAGATAGGATAGATAGGATAGATAGGATAGATAGGATAGATATGATAGATATGATAGATATGATAGATATGATAGATAGATAGATAGATAGATAGATAGATAGATAGATAGATAGATAGATAGATAGATAGATAGATAGATAGATAGATAGATAGATAGACCGATAGACCGATAGATAGCTAGATAGCTAGATAGCTAGATAGCTAGCTAGCTAGCTAGATAGCTAGCTAGATAGATAGATAGATAGATAGATAGATAGATAGATGATAGATAGATAGATAGATAGATAGATAGATAGATAGATAGATAGATAGATAGATAGATAGATAGATAGATAGATAGATAGATAGATAGATAGATGATGATGATGATGATGATGATGATGACGAGGATGCTGATGATGATGATGATGATGATGATGGGATGGTGGTGATGGTGGTGGTGGTGGTGGTGGGGGAGGTGGGGGGGAGGGGGCCCCTTTCGCGTGAAAAATCACGTGATGTCCTTGAGCAGCCCCCCCAATACTTGCTAAAGCAAGAAGACTCCAGCTAGCTGACGCTAGCTTTCGTGACATGTTAAAATCAAAAGGGCCATGCGGGCCTGTGCGGGCAAACATGTTGGGCGACGGGTCCTAGTTGTGAGCCAAAATGCTGCGAGGCTCTGTGAAAGGACGGCCTGCGGCCTCATCAAATTCAGTAGAGAAAGGTTGAGAACAAAGCTAAGGTTGAACAATGGTTGAACACACCAAAAGATATCTGCAGCCTTGGATACAAAGCAAAAGCCTCGCCTCGTCCTGTTTGCCGGAAGATGAAGCAGCCTGGCAAGACGTGGCAGGACAACGCAACATCCATAACATGTATTGCACGACATGTAATGAAAACTTTGGCCGTACCTCAGCCAATGCAGGAGTTGAAGCATCCTGGATTGCGGATGCAGAGACATTTTCAACCCATGTCACCATGCGGCGATGCAGTGTAGCAACAGCCTGCAAGAGATGTGGCTGCCGCGTGCGACGCAGGAGCTCCGCCTGAACACTGGTGAGCTGATTTCGAAACATTTCGAAATCAACGGGGCAAAGAAAAATTGTGCTCGATAGAACCAAGTGTCCAACCTCCGGTTACCAAACTGTCTCACTTCCATCACTTGTCACTTGGACATTTGGATGACATGGAATCACGAATGACATAGCAGCTTCCGTGCCTTTACGGACATGCGCTCGCGTATAGCATCCAAGGTTTTCTGCGGCCTCAGGAACAAAATGATACAGGAACTATACAGGAGATACCAAATGCATCCAAATGCAGTCATGGTTTTAAATCAAGGTTGTTTCAAAGTGAAAGAGGGTAATATTATGTAATATTGGCATTTTGCAGTCAAGCCAAATCCTGAATGAACTGGTTGGAAGTTGTGCAAGCTCGCTCCCACCAGTTTGTCAATGACGGTTTGAGTTTTTCGAGCTGTTTGAATGAGGCTAGGGTAGGAACAGCGATATCTACTGCTGAAGCATGAGTACAAAGAAGTCCATACACTACACGTTTTCTTGGAAAGTAACTGAAACTATCTGATACTATCACTGTCAACTGTCAGCATAACATGACCAAGTGACAGCCAGCCAGTTTTGAAAGAGCACTCCTCCAAGATTTCAGAAGAGTTCAACAGCCTCAGGGTAGGAACAAGAACATAAAGAAATAAACAAGACCTGCAAGTATCACAACCTCTACAGATACAGAAGCGATAGAGCCAACCAAGTATTGGCCCAGAGATTCCAAGTTCAATAAACCATGTTCAGTCTCAGACTCACCTCTGACCCATATCAACCCAAATAAACCCTAGTCAAATGGGTAAAAGGATCACTTTGGAACACACTCTCAGGCATCACTTTAGAACACAGCCATTTTGCATCACTTTAGAACACAAAATAAAACATCTCATGGAAACCCCGCCATACACACACACACATCAAATTTACTGACAGGCGCGAGACTTTGGAAGAAAAACGCGTTCCAAAGCGAGACCAACACAAAAAACCTCCTCGTATGAGAATTTGACTCGTTTCAACCATGTCATAAAGTCCCACGCCTGCCACGTAAAAGGACAGTCGATGTACAAAAGTGCCACACCTGCCACGCAAAATGAAGGTCGATGTCAAAAGGTCCCACGCCTGCCACAGAAAATGAAGGTGAATATATGAAACAAAAGCCTTGTTGTACTTGATGTAAGAAGAGCAACGAGACCTTTAGGATTTATATGTTGTTGCACTTGATGTAAGGACTGCCACGACACCTTTAGGGTTTACATGTTGTTGCACTTGATGTAAGGACTGCCACGACACCTTTAGGGTTTATATGTTGTTGCACTTGATGTAAGGACTTCCACGACACCTTTAGGGTTTACATGTTGTTGCACTTCATGTAATAAGAGCCACGACACCTTTAGGGTTTACATCTTGTTGCACTTGATGTAAGAAGAGCCACAGCACCTTTAGGGTTTACATGTTGTTGCACTTCATGTAAAAAGAGCCATGACACCTTTAGGGTTTACATGTCGTTGAGGGTTTACATGTTGTTGCACTTCATGTAAGAAGAGCCACGACACCTTTAGGGTTTATATCTGGTTGCATTTAATCTAAGAAGAGCCACCACACCTTTAGGGTTTATATCTTGTTCTACTTGATGTAAGGAGTGCCACGACACCTTTAGGGTTTATATCTTGTTACACTTGATGTAAGAAGAGCCACGGCACCTTTAGGGCTTATATCTTGTTGCACTAGATGTAAGAAGAGCCACGACACTTTTAGGGTTTACATCTTGTTGCACTTGATGTAAGAAGAGCCACGACACCTTTAGGGTTTATATCTGGTTGCATTTAATCTAAGAAGAGCCACCACACCTTTAGGGTTTTATGTTGTTGCACTTGATGTAAGAAGAGCAACGGCACCTTTAGGGCTTATATCTTGTTGCACTTGATGTAAGGACTGCCACGAGACCTTGAGGGTTTATATGTTGTTGCACTTGATGTAAGGACTGCCACGACACCTTTAGGGTTTATATCTTGTTGTACTTGATGTAAGAAGAGGCACGACACCTTTAGGGTTTATATCTGGTTGCATTTAATCTAAGAAGAGCCACCACACCTTTAGGGTTTTATGTTGTTGCACTTGATGTAAGAAGAGCCACGCCACCTTTAGGGTTTATTAGGGTTTATTTGTTGTTGAGCTTGATGTAAGAAGAGCCACGACACCTTTCGGGTTTATATCTTGTTGCACTTAATGAAAGGACAGCCATGACACCTTTAGGGTTTGTATCTTGTTGCACTTGATGTAAGAAGAGCCACGACACCTTTAGGGTTTATACCTTGTTGCACTTGATGTAAAAAGAGCCACGACACCTTTAGGGTTTATATCTTGTTGCACTTGATGTAAGAAGAGCCACGACACCTTTAGGGTTTATATCTTGTTGCACTTGATGTAAGAAGAGCCACGACACCTTTAGGGTTTATATCTTGTTGCACTTGATGTAAGAAGAGACAAATTTTGTTGCACTTGATGCAAGAAGAGCCACGACACCTTTAGGGTTAACATCTTGTTGCACTTAATGTAAGGAGAGCCACGACACCTTTAGGGTTTATATATTGTTGCACTTGATGTAAGAAGAGCCACGACACCTTTAGGGTTCATATCTTGCTGATGATGATGAGGAGGAGGATGACGATGGTGATGATGATGATGATGATGATGACGATGATGATGATGATGACGATGACGATGATGGTGTTGGCGGCGAAGAAGAAGAATAAATATGCTGAAAAAAATAGAAGAAACTTGATGATGCTGCTGATGATGATCGTGCTGTTGACGATGAGGATAATGAGGAGGATGAGGCTGATGAGGAAGAGGATGGTCAAAAAGAAGAAGAAGAAGAAGAAGAAGAGGAATAAACGGAAGAATAAGCATGATGCAAATGCTGATGATGATGATGATGATGACGACGACGATGATGATGATGATGGTGAGGAGGCGCGTTCGAAAGCGATGCATGAGAGCGCGTTCCGAAGCGATGCCTGAAGACGCGTTCCGAAGCGAGGCCCTTACCGTCAAACGTCTACCAGTCTACCATGTGCTCTCAATCACTTGCCGCACAAGTGTTACACAATTGCCGCAGAAGTGCCGCACTTGCCATCATCCCTGCCATGTTGACCAATCCGCCAGATATTCTCTGCCGAGGCACTGCTGCACAACCTCACGCGGGGGAACAGTGCTGTCTGCGGTGAGGGCTCAGAGGTCTTCAGTCCCTTTGGCTGTCACTGTGTTATCACATGTTATCACTGTGCAAATAACTACATTGACCATACATTGACCATACATTGACCATACATTGACCACACCTCATCCTCAATGTCAATGTACTGATACAGCTGAGACCGGTTGACCTCGGCAGAAAGACCTTGCGGTGCTGTGAAGCAACATGAGGCAACATGAAGCAACATGACCACCCACAGGATCCCACAGGATCCCACAGGATCCCACAGGCCACCCTGCCGGAGGTGTCCGAAAATGACAGTCGAGTGCATCCGCGGGTGTCTGATCGAAGGTCCTCAGCTTTTCGAAGCTTTTTGAAGCTTTCCCAGAACTCAGCAGCTTCACGGTTCACGGCGGAACGCTTCACGGATGTTCCTCCTCTGAGTTTCGATTTCAAGGCCGAGGCCCTTGGACTCTCTCAAAGTATGCACGTCGTTCTTTCAGGAAGCGGTCTCTGAAGTCAATCACCTGTCATTCATTCGTCATTCTGTTGTCATTCTGTTGTCATTCTGTCATTCTGTCATTCTGTCATTCTGTCCAACTTAAACGTTCCATATCCATATCCTTGTTCAGTGTCACTGGTTCAAACCTACACAAAAAAAAAAAACTTTGTTTATTCAATATTTATTCTTTATGATTCTGTCGAGCTTCAAATAAGTTGAACTCAGGAGTGCCTGCATGAAGCGTGACTCGGTATGCTGGCGAGGGTCATAGCCCAAACGGATGTAGACCTGAACATGTCACGAGACTCACTGGGACCAAACTATATGCTGCAGGAACCCCAGCAGCCTGCCGCCAGGGGCCATCCGACCAGAGATAGCTTACACAAATGAAGGTTTTCTGCATAGTGCTGACCTGTCCGAGACTTTCAGAAGCTCTTGCAGAATTAAGAAGAATCTAGACTACCGACACAAACTCGGCATGACTCTGACTCGACACAAACTCAGCACACAAGTCATAGCAAGTTAGTCATGGCAAGTCATGCTGGGCCCACATTGGGCTGAAGGCCCTTCTCTCGGAGTCGTTCCTCTGGCGCCGCACAACACTGCAGATTCAACTGGGTGGATGAACGCCTTAACTCAGATGAAATCGGATGAATCATGAATCATAGCATCAAAACTAGCATCAAAACATATTTTGTTATATATTGTTGTTGAATTTTGACATATGGTTATATAAATTAAATGATTCGCTGATTATTCACTGATGATTCGCTGATTAGCTAACTGTTGATTGCTTTGTTATGCTTTGGGCACCTCGGCAGGTCCGCGCAGCCAAAGTGGACGTTCCTCAAACAGCCCTTTCAGCGCATCAACCTGAGGAGCTCAGATCGATCTACAGATCTACTCAGATCCTACTCAGATCTACTGACATGTCTGCGCATGTATTATCAACACATGTCAGCACATGTATGCCATGTATTAGCCATATAATGCCGATGTATTTGTTGTATGAAAAGATTTTTGTACGTTGACTTTGGTGCATCACCACTTCTCGTTCGTCGTCCCGCAACATATCCTGGTCAGTCAAAACATGTCAAAGCCTGTTTTCCTGGTCTTGTGACTGACTGAAACTGGCTAAAACTGACTTGAGACGTCTTGAGATGTCTTGAGATGTGTGATGAAGACCTTGCTGAACGAGTTCACACCTTTGATGGAATCATTTGGCACCTTGGCACCTTCTGGCGGCTCACTTGGAACCTTTTCGTTCTGGAATTTCACCACATGAACCTTTTGCCGACGTCAAAGGCCGATCAAGCGCCGATCAAGCACGTGACTCCCAATCAACACTGATGCCATCGATGCCATCGATGCCATCGATGCCATCGGCAAACTTCCCAAGGCCCAAGGCGCACCCCAACCCAGTCACGCGAAAGCTTCGATTCGCCAGTGCCAGTGATGGCTTTGACCTGTCGAGTTTTTTGCGACGGGAAGGTGGTGATGAAACACTCAAAGCAAAGGAGGACCCAAACATTCAAAAGAAGCTGTAAGACAGCAAATCGCTTTGTCATGCTGAGAGCACAGCATCTTTGTTCCGCTGCCGCTTCAAAAACGAGTTCTCCTATACAGCAATTCGGCATGCATGCGATGCATGTACTTTTCTGAAGGCAAGAAACATGACAAATGCGCGCCTCGAAATCGTAGGCTTGTGGGGTGTCCACCCTGGCCATCATGAAACTATCTGGGATCCTTTTGTTCTGGCGGTGTCATTTTTTGTCAACTTTTCTTGAGTCGCAAATGCGAAAAGAAGGTCTTTCTTCGTTGAAGAGAAACCTTGCCTTGTGAAATATGCTGGAGGCATATATGGAGGACCGCCCACACCTTCTCCGCTGATCTCCTGAAGTCTGACATCGCCAATATGCTTCTGACCACAATAAAAAAAAAACATAGAACACATCAAACGACGCACAAAACATCGGAACACACCGTTCTCACCATACTCAATGGACTTTCACCTGCTCAATGGATCCAATCACCGGACTTTCACCGTACTTCAGCTGCTCCCCCGGTACGAAGACGAAGTCTGCCAGCACCTGTGCTCCAGTGTCTTCGCTTCGGCGTCAATTTCGAATATGTCCGTTGTGGTCCAGGAATCTGTCAACATCAGGCAGATCTTGTGTCACTGTGTTGTGTCCCCATATGGCACATGCTCGAATTGAGCCCGGTGAAACACTCGCTTGACAACTTGGCCAGGCTCATTTGTGAAAGTATGAGTATGAAATCCGCTCAAGCCATGTCAGGAGGTCTGCACAAACAATCCGCTCTCTTGACTCACTGTGACTCGTGTTGACGCATGAATTTATATGAATTTATTCCAGAGATGGCTGAGCTATACGTCTGACAATGCTAGATCTTGCATGATCTTGCATGATCTTGCTAGCACTGCCGGTGTCATAAATTTACGCTTCACTGTCTTCACTGTCCCTCTTTCGAGGTCACAGCTGTCCAAGCCTGGCAGAGGTCAGACTATGTCAGAACAAACCGAAATTTATCGAAACAGGCGGAACATTCTCACGGAGTTTCAGGACGAAAACGCAACTTGCAGCTCCTGACTTCTGCCTTTGATTTCACTGATTTCACATCTCAATAATCTATTCACACCTGTCCACTTCTGTCCACTTCTGTCCACTTCTGTCCACTTCTCTCATTATTCCTGATCCTGTGGACCTCAACACCTTGCTGCCTCTTCACTCAGTAACCTTTGTCTCAACAGGCCTTGACAGCGCCGCACTGTGCTGATCCTGAGATTCCAAAAGTCCCTTCCAAGGCCCTTCAAGGGCCATCGTCGGCCACGTGTGGAAAATCACAAAATCTCAATATCCGAGTGCTTTGAACACGCATCGTGAACAAAGTGTCAAGATATGTCAAGATACAAGGGTCTGAAGTCAGAAATTCCTCAAACATCCTCAGACTCTGAAGTTGTGTTGTTTTGGAATGATAGCCATGACATGATGTCATGCTCGGCCGACGTGCCAAGCAATTCAGGTGATGATGATCGACTTAGACTCAGAATTTAGATTCAGTGGATGACATGCGATGTTCCACGCATGTTCCACGCATGTTCCACGCATGTTCCATGCTTCAGGCAAGCATCTGCGAGCGCATGAAGTTGCTCCAAAGCTGGCAGACCAGGCCTCGGGTTGTCACATTCGACCACGCACAATGCAAATGTCAAAATATTTCGAAACATGGCTCGAAACATAGCTATAAAATATTATAAAATTCTAAGATGCTACACATATAGTGAAACCATGTATTGTTTGTTGTGAAACTGGTCTGGTCGGGTGTCCGGACACAGATGCACTGGACGACAAAGTGCTTCTGCCTCCATGGCTTCTGAGCGCTTCTCGAGCTGTGAATGCGACCGAGCCTGGCTCATCCCAGCGGTCCAACATCACCTGAACAGGAATGTTCGGAACGCCGTTCGGAATGGTCATAAGATTGTCATAAGATTGTCATAATCAGAAGATATCAGAATCAGACTCAAATATGAATTCGATATCAATGTTTTATCTCAAAAAAAATGATGAAAACGCATCAAGACCTGGCAACCGCCAACTTCGCAAAATTGTCTTTTGCTTCACTGGACAGCGCCTGGCAGGCGCCTGCCGTTGTAACTGGCTCAGCAGCAAGGCGTCCACGCGGGATCTCGTGCCTGACATCTGTGCAGTCTATGCGGCTCACCCCGTCACCCCGTCGCACTGCGAGCCCCGGCCTTGGACATCTTGGACTCACTGGTGACTGAGACGGCTGAGATGGCTGAGACGGCTGAGACTGCATCACCAGCCTGGCCTGGCTTTTGAGGTTCGGAATCAAGTTGGAGACATGTTGAAACTCGAGTTGGAAAACTCAAGCGTCGTCATTGAAGAAAACGATCCATAAGCCATGAGTTTTAAATAAGTGCGAAAGTGCTTTGATGTTTAAATAACCACAGCATTCTGCTCGGATGATCCGCTGATCACGCGCCTTGTGCAGTTCCTGCTTCAACTCCGAGCCTGGGGCAACGTCACGTCCGTGTCCAAACATCGCGACGGGTCGGAGTCCAATCCGAGTCCCGGAACGGTGTCGCTCTAACAGCTCTGCCAGACGTTGCAGTGTCCGGGTGCCACGAGGCGACACTGGCGACACTGGCGACACCTAACAACACCGGAAATGGAGAGTTCAAGAACGTGATCATTGTATTGTTTTGCTGCATTTCCGGGTCAAGAAGTCAATCTCACTTGGGAGCTTGCTGGAGGCATATAGCCGCTTGCAGGAACGTGCATGACCCGCAAAGCACCTCGCGATGTGCCGGCAACACTTAAAAGACGGATGACACAGCGGGTACTCCGAGTCACTTTCGCACTCCGAGTCTCTGGACTTGTCTTCCACTTGCTATGGCAAACCCTTTGAACCTTCCGATGGCCTCTGTATGGCTTTGGCATGACACACCATTGAACCCGCACCTGGCACTTGTGCCACACAAACGGGGTGTGGAAAGGTCGCCATGGCCCTCTGAAGCACAGCGCGAGGCCCACAGAGGTGCTAAAACCTTTGCTTTGTCCGACTTTGTTCCAAGGTGTTGTGCCGTAGTTCGAGGCCAAGGTTTCGCTTGGCTCTGGCTGACGTGATAGCTTTATGGCCCACATTACCTCATTACGGAGTTTCCGTCAGATATGATCACTTAATATCACTTATGTCCGGGGAGCAGAAGGCTTGAGCCCAGAACAGCCCAAATATGCCCAAGTGAACCAAACCAGGCTTTGGAGGATCGATGTGGATGCCATGCGACATGTGCGACAGGACTGTGCACCTCTGCCCTGAAGCTGGTAGGGACCCATGCCACAGGCGCACAGTCCTCTCTCTGTGACCACACATGTTTATACAAATCAATACAAAACACTACAATTGTTATATAGAACATTTAACAAAAATAATATTATATAGTATGATCACTGATAATCCAATATATATATATATAATTAATATAATAATTATATATATAATTATATATATATAATTATATATATATAATTATATATATATATTCACAGCCTTTTGTTTCTCTTTGTGTTCTTGCAAAGTTTCTGGGGAAGTTTCTGTGGTCCATAGTCCATGGTTTCGCATCGCTGCAGGGCTTCCAACCCAAACTGTGGACCAGTGTTCGCCTCATTAGCTTTCAATAGATCAGCCATTTATGGTAGGTAATGGTCTATTTATGGTTTATTTTGGTTCAATCCTTAAAAAAAAAACAACTGATTCCATTGTAGGTAAAGGATTTCGGCTCTGCAGATATCCCGGATATCCCTGAATCATTCTCCCGGGGCAGTCCCAGGTGCCATCTGGCTTCTTTCGCGCTTTTACCAGGAGGTCCGACCTTGAAGTGGTCAGCAATTTATGAAACATGTCATTAAACACTTCATTAAGCACCAAAACAACGGTTTTCAGTTGTCAGACTTAAATCTCCTGCATTATTCCTGCTACACATTGGGTCAACAAAAGAACGACAGAGGTAGATACGCCGTACAGTCACTGGATCTTGAAAACAATTCTGAGCTGCATTGCACAAACATCTTGATTTAATTACATCAATAGACATTCCATTCCGAGACATTTCGAGGCATTCCACGAAGTTCCAAATGTGAAAGCAGTGGCACAGCAGTCCCTAAGCATTGGACGTTCTGTACCGCTTCATGGGCATCGGCGCCTGCAAAGCTCTGGACATAAAGGGAGCGAGACAATGATGTGGCTCTAGCTGCCGACACTTTCGGCAGCGGCCTGAAACTGGTAGCTTCTGCAAAGGCGCAATCGCAGCCTGCAACTCTCAGAAATGCTGAGACGTCTTCAGCATTCAACATTTTTCAACCAGATGTGTTGACATTTTTCAAATGTTTCAACCTTCTTGGCTTTTGGTCACATTCTGCACCCACGCCTCGCTCTGTCGGCAATTGCATCAGCCACAGCTCTCCGTCCACCCACTGCAGCCTCAGTGGAGCTCTTCAAAGTCGCACTGCCCACACATGGCATCGTCTATGTAATATAATTCACAACCACATTACAGATCATGTACGGGATTGAAAACAACAAACTGAACACGCAAAAAAAAAACATGTTGTTTGTTTTGCAAATTCGAAACATATTTGCTTGTTTTGCACCGTTGGATCCTTTGGTGACAAGTTGCCACAGCCTCTTCCACATCTTTCACGCGGCCGGGGACCTCAACCAACTAGAGCAATGTGCAAACCGGGGCAAACAAGTCATCGTTTCGATTGGCAAACAATATCCAGAACTGACTCCAAGTGTTTCCAAAAAGGGAATTCATCCAGAAAAAACCAAAGAACCAAAGACCTCAATGAATTGGTGGCATGGGTCAATCGACAAAGATTGTAAACGGTAGATTCTGGGGACTGCATATTCATTGATATTCATTGTTCAGTTTTGTTTTTATTCCCTAGACCGTCTAGACCCCCCTCTCTTACCATTTTTGTTGGCCGTTGCGTTTCACGTCACATCCGGCGGCTCCGGAGCCTCCACAGAACTGACCCGTGGGAGTTTGACTTCCTCCGCGGCATCCGCGCCATCTTCTGCCATTTCGAAAAACCTGGCCTTTGAAACTGAAATCTGATGAAATCTGAATGCGCTAAAACCATCTAAAACACGTGAGATCATTTGAGGCTGCGCTGAACAAAGCCACATGGGATGACTCATTGCTGCCTCATTGGGTCAGGGTCCTAATCTAGATCCTCTCCTGGACGGAATTGAAAGTGAGTGCTTGATAGTGTGTTTGCAGAAGGTGTTATCACATTGTTTTTCCAGTTGAAAATTTGAATCAATCACAAACCAATCGTACAGGAAACATGACAGTACACAAAGTGCACTTTGATATGCATCAAACCAATGCTGTTCACCGTTCTGCTGCAATGTTCAATTCCACTCCAGTATTGAACCAACTAGCTGTTGGCTGCAGAAGAAATTCCAAGAAGTGCCGCTGGAACCACTGCATTTTTGAAACCCATGGAGATATCTAGTGGCCACATGAATCTTACATGAAAGAAATGATGTCAGGATTCAGTTCATCGCCGTTGCGCTGGAAACCTACAACTTTATGCAACTCTTCCTTCACACCGGACATGTGCAGCGTTTGCGCAACTGGGATCTGAATCTGTGAGACCATGGCGACGTGCATCACCACGCCGCTGTGACGCTTGATGTTGTCCTAGCAACATGTGCGTCTCACAGGTCATAGCTCATGGCAAGAATTGTCATTTCTTGAAGGCAAACAAGCTTTACTTGTCCATGACAACCAGTAGCGTCGGCCACTTCGCTGGTAGCTCCGCTTCAGAGGCTGGGCGTAGCAGCCGGGCTCTGAGCACCGTGTCTGGCGATTGTGGCCGATTCCCTCGACGACTGTCTCCAGTGACTCGTCCATGACTAATCCTATGACCCGAGATGACTAGACCAGCGGATGCTGTCTTGGCTCGCCCACTGAAGTGTCGTTGCATTTGGATACATCGGAAAGAACGGTCAGACTTGCATCGTAGTCAGGCTGCCAAATTCTGAACATGGCAACCCAGTAAACATACGCCTCAAAATTCCAGTGGTAGCATCGGGTCTCAGTCGGATGAGCTGTCGCTTCCATAACCAGGATTCGCCACCACAGACCCTTCAGGTGAAGCATATGAAGGTCATCTGGAATTTAACCATTTTTCAAGGACTCAGCTTGGTTCAGGTAGCGCATGGGAAGCGCTTGAACCTTCAGAGAGAAACTGCCCAAAGTTGTCGCAAGTTCAGGATTGGATTCGAGATTCAGAGTGTGCCGACAAACTTCGCAGTCGTCGTACAGCAGATTGGATGTCCCCACGATCAGCGCAATGGCAGCCTGGTTGGGCGCCTTAAACTCCTCCAACAGCTTCGCCACCGGATTTTCATAGTCTTCGTTTGCTCCATGGCCGGCATGGCCCCATCTCAGGACATACTGAATGGTCTCCAAATAGTGGGTGAGAAATGGCACCAATGTCCCACTGTTCTTGAAGAGTTGCACGCCAGCATTCAATCGCACATGGCCTTGGTTCAGTCCTCCTCCCGACCGAGGAGCCTAGTGAACCAACCAAACTGCTTAAGCTTCAGCGTGCTCGATTATAATTATAATGTGTAATCTATATATTACTGAATATTTACTTATGCAAATCATGTAAATAATTCGGATCACTTTTACCGATTACAATGACTACAATTTTACTACCATGATGCCACAAATTCCTTGAATCTGGCAAGAATCCATTCTTGGTCTTTGCGACTTCCTCGTTGCTGCCCCATGGCACTTCATGCTCCCGGTCATACACTGTAAAGGCATAGTCCCACTCAGGACCATTCGTTTGGTTAAAAGGCAGGAATCTTTCCAAGGACTTGCAAAATAGCATATCCGAATCGATTGTCACGATGTATTGAAAGTCTCTGTTTTCTGGCAATTTCACCTGCTGGATGACCCACATGAAGAAGTTTGCATTGTTAATCAGCATCCTTTCATCGTGGACTCCTGGATCACAAACAGTTTCAATCGTGCTCCCATTGTCGTGATATGTTGAAGGCCGACAGCCTGTACGTCGATTGGAAATCGGGCTTGTATCGTCGGTCGTTTCATCTAAGTAGTCCTCCACCCCACCAGAGTGCTCCTGGACAGGCTCATATTCAGGCGGGATTTCATAACTTTTTAAACATTTTTTGAGTTTTGTTTGAATATGCTATGCTGGTATTCTTTGATTGAATATTGGAAGTTACATAAATTCATTGCATTCTATATTAGTCTATACTCGACGGAATGTGCCTTTGGAACAATGTCACATACTGACATTCGTCTAGGGTTTTAAGGCCCTGCTTTCATCTGGGGAGAGCAGAGGCGAATGATGGCACTCCTAATTTGAATAGTTTCGCCCTGGGTGTGTCGCGGTGCAAGTGCTTCAACGAATCTATTGTCTAGTGAGGGCATACACATCCAATCTGATTATGTGTTCATCCAAAAATGAAACACTAAAGTTGCCTACGAAGAATGAACAAGCATCCAAAATTGGGAGGATAATGGTCCTTCTCAATGCTAAACATTCTTCAAATTGTCATCATGATCATTCAAATTGATTTGGACACATCTCACATCATCTCACATCATCTCACATCATCTCACATCATCTCACATCATCTCACATCATCACGCTTTAAGTCACTTAAAGTCACTTCGGTATGGTTTTCCAATGTGTCCGTCTCCTGGGACCACTGCTCTTTCAGGGCGCTGAAGTTGCCTTCGTCGAAGTCCACGAGGCCGTGGCCCAGCTGCCGCAGCAGACGCCGTGCCTTGCGGAGCTGCGCGTGCTCCACGGCCATGACCCAAATCCGCAGCCGAACCGACGGCGACGACGGCGCGCCGTAGATGCGAAGGAAGGACAGGAAAAACGGGGCCTCAAACTGTCAGCTGTCAGGCGCTGTCAGACTGTCACGTAGACATACGTCAACTGTGTCAATGGATGTCAACGGATGTCAATGCATGTCAATGGCAAATGTCAGGAGATGGAATGTCCACAAATTACAAGTTTTTTTCCGGCCGTTAGCAGCCTTCTTTTTGAATCCCCACACGCTGTCAACAAAGGGCAAAGTTCAGCCGAGCTGCGCAGTAGCGGTCAAAGTATGAGGAGCCCATGCACATGGCCAAGAACAAGGTGCTGCCCTGCTGAGGCACCTCTCCGCCTACGGTGCCTGCGGCGCCTGCGTCTTTCTGGCAGATCGCTTTGGTCTTCGCATCTGTTGACACTGTGCTTTCTTCAGGTCCAAAAGAGACTGTCTCACAATCAGAATCATATGAGTCACATGTCTTGGTCAAAAAGCATCCTTTCCATGGCCCAGGAGAAACATTGCCACTGAGAGACAGGTCTTTCCTCGCATTCTCACATTCCAAAGCGGAATCAATTTCAAGTCCAGCAGGGCAGCTGTTGCTCACCTGGTAGAGCGATGCCTTCCCCCACTGTGGCCAAAACTGCTGCTCAATGATTCCCGCTCGCCTCTCCATGTCTGAGAGGTCTATGTCAGAGGCTGCCATCACAGCGTACATCTCGTCGTCTTTCATGCTGTGTGGAAGTGCCACTGAAACTGACTTAACATGCATCCAGTCGAAGGCTATGAGCTGTGCAGCGAATGTAACCTGCCAAGCACATGAAAACTTTGCTAGGCGAAGAGAATCTGGTCTAGAGGTTGGGTACAGTAAGCTGTCACAACCCTGTGAAGGTGATTCCACCAGAGTCAGGTCAATCAGTGTATTTTGGACGACAAAGAAAAAACTCAAGCGAAATCATGTACACTTATCTTTATCAGTTTTTCGGAATCTTGCCAAGAATGCTTTCTTGCAAAGGGTTTCAAAGCCTTTCTGGATCCAGTTGCTCGAGTCAGTGTTTTGTCAGGGTTTTGGGCCTGTTCCGCACTGATATTCTTTATCAACACCATTCCTGTGAGGCGCCCAGGATTTTGCCAGCGGGCAGTGACGGGGATGTGTTTGGCCAGGCAGTATTTCACCACGGGCAAATGCGAGGCCTTGAAACGAGGACACATCCACATTTTTGTGCACAGGCTGCACAGGCTGTTCAATGTAAAAAAGCAGTGCCCAAAACCTCACAAGAACCTAAAAAAATCCACCGGACATTGGACGTTCAAACTTCGTAGCTGAGAAACTGCCAGGAAATCCATCTCCAGTTTCACGGCCCGTAGTGGTTTTCGGAACAGTGGAGTCATCCGTTGCAGCTGCAGCAGGCTCCACCCACTCACACCAACGACGCCGCCACCACGCACCACGATGTGCTCTGCAGCTGCCAGGCTTCCAGAAACGCAGACCTCACCACAGCCGCTATCACCTGACAGGCACAGCCTTTCAATTTGAAAAATACTATATTATAAATATAATTACCATATATATATATATACAGTACATATACATATATATGTGTGTGTGTGTGTGTCACCCCAAACCCTGCAGGCTGCATCCTTTTTCAGGAGTGCCTCTGAGTTGCTATGTTTGAGGCTTACCGCAGCCTATATACACGAAGCAAACGCACGGCGCAAAGGATACGTGTTGCCGTGGAACTCGACGGAAGCCAAAGCATTTTGGACCTTGAGCTTGAGTTGAAGAGGACGCGCCGGAGGCGGCAACGAAAAAGGACCGAGATCGATGGGGGCAAGCCTCTGAGGTAAGGGAACAAGCAGGCAAGGCAAGGAGGTGTCGGCAAAGTAGGCGGTGAGGTCATATGGCGTGTGGTTGTGACACGTCACCTTGACGACGCTAGTTGCAAACTGGACCGAGGACAGCCTGCTGGTGATGTAATTCTCCAAGAGGTCCAAGCCTTGGATGAGGCCGGCTTCGGCCCCGCCGCAGTACAAACCTTTGCGAAAGGTTGGCGCTGCACGGACTCGGTGAATGATTTGGTAGCTTTTCAGCAGCAGGTCTTCAGTTAATTTCTCGGCCTTCAGAAAGTCCGCCCAAGCCTGGGGATGAGCGGTGAAGATGCTTGCAGAAAGGGTGCAAAACAAAAACACTCTGATGCAGACAAGGAGCAACTCGGTGCGCGTACTCGAACAGTACAGGCTCTGCGGACCAGACGATTTGTGTGACTTGGCCACTCAAGTGGTCGTGAAGCAAGGTGCCATCATTGGTGTAAGTACGCAGCACGATGCACAAAGTGAGTTCTGGGACGGCCGTGGCAGGAGCAGTGACATCGTGGAACTTGACCACCTTCGAGGCCGGCGCAGCAAAGGGAACCGGCGTCAAGGCTCGCTTGCGAGGGGAAGCCTGAGGCGGCGAGGCAGAAGTGAAAGGGGAAGGAAAAAAGTGTGGAAGAACCAACATTCAATCGTAGCGGAAAAAAAGAGCAATCAAATGTAGGTAGAAAGCGTACACACGAAACAATGTAATTACAAGATATGCCTGCAAAGCTAAAGCGTATTTAGATGCGTGAAATGGAAGCTAGTTGCAAAAACACGCGTACCAAGCAGTTGGGCTGAGTATGTTACCTTACGGTCATTCCCTGCGCGCAAGGTCAAGACCATACCCTGAGCCTTCGGCTGGTGAAGCAGGGGTGAAAAGGTCCTTTCTGCCTCAAAAGGCTGGACTTGGGCCTGGCTCAAGAGCCTCATCCCTTCCAAGCTTAAAGAATCGAAATTTTTGTCTCCTCAGACCGCTGCGCCACCGCTTGACAAGGCAGGTTTGCTCGCGGGGCCATTGGTGTTGAGCATGGTCCCTTCATCAATGTTGCCCTTTGCCGTCCGAGCGCAACTGCGTAGCATCCATGGACAGAGATGCTTGAAAGAACCACGTTACTCCCCCTCTGCGGTGCCAATAGGGGGTATAGCCCTGCGGGCCAAAGCCCAGCACCCCAAGCAACTAGGAAAATTGCTCCCGGAAACGATGCGGCGCCTGGGCTCACAAAAGTGCCTTGGACTTGGGCACGAGGACCTGAATGGCGATGTGCACCAACGGCAAATCTTGTACCAGCAAAACTGGAGGATTGCCTTGAGAAGTGTTGCTCCTGGGGATGATCACACTCATGGACAGGTTGTTGTCATGCACCACCAAATGCTGGTGGGTATAAGGGGCAATTTTTGAGGTTCGCAGCACGCAGTTGAAACCCAGCGCTAGCAGCAAAGCCAAATGCTCTGACTGCTGCGAACAGGCCACGCTCATCAAAGCTTCAACCAATGCACAGGATGCCGGCAGAGCCCGACTGGGCACATAGCACCTCTGCCAGTTACGAAAAAGCTGGCTGGAACGCGGGAGACACAACAGCAACTCAGCAGGTGACCTCCATAAGACATGGGCTCACCCTCCTGGTAAAGATGATCTATGAATTCTGAAATTTGATGATCCAATTGGCGTTCACTTCGAAGCTTGAGTTTTCGGCGCTGGCAGGAACCTGTCCAGGGGGCAGCTCGATACGCACGAATGGTGCGTGGGTGTAGCCCTGCATATTTGAGGCTACGCCGCTTTCTCATGCATTCTGCTGGGTTTATCTGCAAAGTTCCACGCACTGATGGTCCAGAGCGGATAGCAGTACCCATCCATGGCCAACATCAAAGCACTACACCTGCGCAACACCCGAATCAAGCGCTTCGAGCTGCTGCGGCCCTTTGCCAATGCGCCTCGGCAGACCATTGAGTCCAGCACGTGGAAAAATTTCGTGTGCTGCTTGTTCCGTGATCGGCTTCTGCGCTTCAAAAAGACCGCAAACGTGTTCAACTCAAGCTCATTGATGTGGCCATCCTGTTGCCAAGGAAAGGCAAGAACTGTTTTCCAAGTTTTCCATTGCCACCGCAACGACAAATATGGAACCTCAGGCATGGATTCGTCCACATCGAACATGAAGCGGACGTCTGTTCCTCTGTACGAAACACTCCGCAACAAAGAGCGGAGGTGAGACATCTCTTGGCCGGGTGTCATAGTCTGCTCCACCTGTGCCAACAAGCTTGCTACTGCCCCCGTGACCACCTCTTGGCTCAGTCGGGTTGTCGACCGGGAGACCTCCTCGGCAAAATGCCGTTCCCTTTCAACCATCTCGATCTAGTTGCTGCCTGGGAGCCATCGCATAGGCCTGGCAGAGGGGCCACGGGTATTCAGCCTCCTCAGAAGTGAGGTAATGAAGACCGCCCATCCGGCAGTTCCACCACCTCATAACTCTCCAGGTCGTCATGCCCTGGCAGGCGCGAGGGTCTCCAAAGAAGGAATGCCATTTCTCCCGACGGCCCCCAAAGCAGCAACAAGAACCAACCGCGTGGTTGGAGGCCTTCAGCTCCTCCAACTCCTTCACCAAAGTGAACTCCCACACGCAGGAGCTGTAGGGGTGTTCCATTGTGCAGTAGCAGGGGCAAGGGGACGGGCGAAGCTATTTTCACCTTCTGAGGGCCTTGAGCACCATGTTGTTGGAGCGCCTGACCCTAGCCTTTGCCTCAGAAGGAAGCCAAGGAAAGCCATCAGGTGCTTCTGGTCTCTGACTGGTTGAGGGTCTTGCACCGTCCTTCCATCAGCCAACTGTATCGGCCTCCCCCTGGCTCTTGAAAACAAATGGCAATCCGGCGCCCAATGTTCACAGTAGAGGGCTTCGTCCGCCATCAGCCGATCAAGCTCTTTCCTGCCTTCCTCGGTGAACATGTCCTGACCAAAGTGCAAGTCGAAGGGAGCCTGCACCTCTATGTGACCCTCCATGGCCACCGCCAACGAGAGTGGCGCTCTCTCGCCTGCAAACCTCTCCCCGAACTTTGGGGGTCGCCATGCTCTCCGGGGACCCTGGGTGTCCCTCGGGTGACCTACGTCTCGATGCTCCAAGATGCAAGCCAGTGAACAAACAGGCCACCGCAGTCTGCTGGGCATGGATAACGACCCTCTTCTTCCACGGAACCATTACACTCATAGCATCGGTCAAGTTCACTGGCTATGGTCTCTGGGATGCAACTGCTGCCCCCCCCCAGTCCGCACCAGGAGGGCTTCGTCCAGGGCCGCTGTAGAAGGTGGAGTCTTCTCCTGAATCTCCTCAAAAATGCACTGGAACGTCGCCAAGAGCGGCCTGCGAAACCACATGCCAAGGTGGCCTTTCCTACGAAATGGCGCATCCAAAACTCGCTCCACTTGCCATGAGCCAACATTGCAGCTCCCAAGCCCATGAGTTGCGCCATCTTGCCCCGCGCCAGGCCATAAATTCCCAGTTCACCATCCAATTCCCCCTTGAAGGGTTCCTTGAGTCGCTGCCACCACCCTCTTTCCTTCATTGAGGGATAAACCTTTTTCTTGGCACATTCTCAAAAAACACTCGTGCCGGTCACTTGCGTGACCTCCCCAGACCTCCTTGCAGCTTGCATCCAATCTCCTCAGCTCATCGTAGGAGTCCAGGTAGATCACAGTGAGGTCGTCTTCTGCGGGGATGGGCCTGGTCTTTGCCACTCACATGACAAAGGAATGGAAGATGAATCGAACACCAGTGACCTCACTATCGACTGTATCACTGCCACTGAAGAAATCCAACCCATGGGGAGGACTGCCATTGCAGCGTACACCATGGTGCCTAGGGCCCCACCGAAGACCCTAGCGTCAACCTGCTTTTCAAACGCCATGTACTGATGCCAACAAGGGGGCAGACGGACAAGGTTGAAGCAGGAAACAAAATCCTCCGAGTCCACCAGCCAGATCTCATTGTCAGCTTGCTCAAGAAGGGTAAGCTGTCCAAAATACGGTAGGAGACGATCATCCCCATCTATCCTCTCTTGATACGCATTGACAAATTTTCAGATTTCTGTAACTGGCACCATGAGTCCACGCTGTCTCCCACTCTTCAGAAGTCGCACGCACCCTAGAAGCTGGTGGGCGCTCAGGCCACTCGTGCAGTTGCTTCAAACAGCTGCCCGGGTCCAACAACTTCTTCCTCAAGGGGCTGAAAGAAAGTCCACCGGGGGTAATGGATGGCAGCCTCCTACCTTTGGCAGGCTTCAGTTATCTTCTCAGCAACTAAGTCCCCCATTGGCACCACAGGTGGAGGACTCCTGAAACTTAGGGCAGGCAATACCACCCCTGTCCAGGTGTTCCAACATCTTGCACACGTGGTCCACCGTGTCCCTTTGGGCTGATGTGAAATCCTTCTCAGGGAATCGTTCAAGCCACTCACCTCCTGGACAGAGGTAAGGTAGCTGAGGGCATTCACCATACACATAACTCCATCAGAGAGCTCTGGTCCTTGTCCAACAGATAAGTGGCCACCGCCTTGGGGTCGATGGGCAGCAAATCATCACCACACCTTGAAACTAGAGGAATACTCCTCGGGAGGCACTCCATCGCTCCTTGACACCGCGGCCATGCGCACAAGCCCCGTACCCAGCCTGGGTAGTCAAGCCCAAAGGCCCATCAACAGCTCCGCAGGACTGCGCACTCAGCTCGCCATGCATCTTCCCTGACAACCTTTGCCCTCATAATTGAGTGGACCCCCAATGTCCGTCCATCGTGGCTTTCTCTAGGGCCTTCAACCTTTGGCCCAATACGTCTGCGGCGTGAGCTGGCTGTTTCTGGGCCAGCATGTCCATGGCTGTGCAGAGCGTCTTCATTTCCCTCTGTGTGCGGAGCTGCGGGCACAGCACGGTCATCATGTAATGAACATAGGATTTGGATCCTTTGTGATCGCCCCCGCGGACCCGTGGGCCGACTCTTTCAGCATCTTTAGCAAAAGCCTTGACACTAGCCGGCCCGGCATCTTCTGCGCATACCGAGTCAACCTTTGTTGACTCGTCGCCTTTCGGTCCGCAGGGGCGTCCTGGCCCTTGAAGCGCTGCACCTCGCTTCCACCAAAGGGACCTCTGTCCTTATGGCCCCGTGCTCCACCGCCGCAGTCAGTATCAGGCCCAACTTCACCAAAGAGCTTGTCACGTGAGGGACTGGAGGAGGACTCACCTGAGCTGTCTGATCTGCGCCTCTTTGCTTGCCGCGCCTTCTTTTCACGAAGCTCCTCCTCATCAAAGTCTCTTCCCTCTCTCTTTCGCTTGTTCTTTTTGCTTTTCTTTTTCTCACCGCCCTTAGCGGGTGAACCAGAGCCTTCACGTTCCTTCTTCTTTTTCTTTGGAACGGTCCTCTCTGCTTCCCTCCTTAATCTAGATCTTCCTCTGGTCTCAGCTGCCTCTCTTTTCTTGGCCTTCTGCTCGCCCTTCTTGTCAGTCAACCGCTTCTCAAGCCGCTTGAGATCTTCACAAACCTTCTTGAGCTTGGCCTTGAAGCTCTCATCCTCTGAAGAGGAGTCACCGTCTCCCCCAGCTCAACCGGACTCATGCCAAGGGAGCCCACCTTCTCTTTCAGGCCGAGCGGGGCGCTCACCGCGTCTCTTATGGAAGTCCTTCACCGCAGCGACACAAGAGCGGGAGAATGCCCACCCTGGCACCTTACTGGAGAGCTCCTTGGTGGTGATCTCCCTGAACTTCTCGGGGTGCATGTGGAGGCCTCGCTTCACGACCTTGCAGTCCTTCGAGTTGTCCTCACAGAAGTGGAAATTCCCTTTCTGGGCCAGCTTCTTGCCTTCTCTCTCAGTGAACCACCACCGCAGGTGCGGGTCAGATGCGGTCACGTAGCGACCAATACTTAGTGTCCAGCACTGTCACTGGATACAGGTTCCACCACCTCCAGCAACATTGTGCCCTGCGACTGGCTGCAGTCATCGCGCACGAGTTGCCCTTAAGCCCAAAAGATGCAGGGAGAACAGGTGACATATCACCGTTGCTACGTGCAGCAAGCTTTACTACGACATCACTTATTGCAATATATAGATATAATATCATATATGTATATATAAACGTGATATAAATATATATATATATAGATAAATAAGTAAATAAGAAAGTAAATAAACTAATAAATTAATAAATCCGCCCGCACCGAAGGTGCTGGGGCGTGATCGTCCGGATGGCACTCGTAAAAGGTTACAGGTTTACCTGGGGGGGGGGCATTTTTCGGCCAAAACCTCCCGGTTTTGAATAGGTCGTGACGCTCGCCTTCAAAAAACACTGTAAAAAACACTACGGAAGACACCTGTTCGTGAACGCGCCCGTCCAAAATCGGCAAGCGAAAAGTGAAAAAAAACGTATTTTTCAACTTTTTGACCTCAATTTTTTGGTTTGCAACATCTTTTTTTGCGGTTCCGCAGGTGGCCTGGCCCGGAGGCGGATTTTTGAGTTTTTGGACCCGTTTTCGGACTGATTTTCGTTTTTGTGATAGCAGAAACACTGGTTTTTACAGTGTTTTTCTGTTTTCTGCATGCTTGACGGCTAGCTTCAAAACTTCCAAAAACCTCGTAAATTACGCTGTTTTATGTTACGGTGTGAATGAAAACATCGTAAATACCAGTGTTTTTTGACGTTGGTTAAAAAAACACTGTAAATTACAGTGTTTTTGGCCACCTGACCCTCAAAAACCATGGTATTTGCAGTGGTTTCTGCTTCTCACCGCGCAAAAACACTGTAAATAACAGCAATTTCGCCGTTTTTTCATGTTTTTCGTTATTTTTTGAACTGCGTTGGTCCGCTATACATGGCTATCAAATTCTTCACGTTTTTTTTTTCCAACAATCAGTACTTTCGGTCGTTTTTGGTCTCAATGGCCGACATCATTGGCAGTTACGGGCGGTCGCGAAGGTGTGAGAACAACATCGTTCAAACCGTGGCGGCCGCACAGGGGTTCTTGTCGCGGAGCGACGGCAATAGAAGAGAACAATGGCAGTAGAAGAGCCCAACGATGCGGTGCGGGCGGTTGCCGTCGCGAAGCGACGTGAATAAATAGATAAAACGTGACAAATATCAAAAACCGGCAGCAAATCAGGAGGAAACCGTGCATTCTGTACCAAATATGCTCTGGCAGCACAACATGTTATACAAAAATCCACACTTTAGTACACAATGTCATATTTGATGAGATAGCCCGAGTTCTCCGAGTTGCCAGCACCCACAAGCACTAGATCAAAGTGGGAGATTTCCAGCAGTTCCAACATCCTCTGCAGTGCGTTGACACTTTTCTCGTAGACCAAATCCGGCAACGCCAACTCAGCAGAGATGAAGACGTCGCTCCCAGGATTCCCCAGGCGACGATTCTGCAGGGCTTCTGCCACGGCTCGGAGTTGCCATGTGGTGCTGTTGCTTGGGATGTTGACATGTCGACCCCCCAGGCTGAAAAAGACCTGGCACATGGATGACATGGATGACATGGATGACATGGATGACATGGATGACATGGATGACATGGATGACATGGATGACATGCACGTGCAGCATTGCAACGATTAGCATGGTGAAGTGACTTCAACGAGGTCATGTCGAAAGTACACAAAAATCTGAGCATATGAAGTGACTCATGGCCCTACAACGAAAGATATATTGTTCATCAAGCCGTAACGATCCACGCAACTCCACAGAGTCCCAGCATGTCCCAGCCTTACAGGCATCATAGGCCGCTTGAGGCTCCAAGTCAATGTCCCCATCATATTCCAAGTTCAAGGTCCACCGGGGGATCTCTTCTGCATTCAGCTGGACCAAGGCCACCACGGCCAGGGCGAAACAACGAACCGCTGCCAGTGCCATTGCAACTCCATGTCCATTTGGGCATGAGATCATGCGTCGGCTATTGCTGTTCAGGTAGTCTTAAGATATCCTAAAATGTCTTGAGTCTGGCTCATCATCCAAACTCTCTGACGGCTTCAGTTTTTTACTGACGCTCAAAAGGTCACAGCTATTATCTTGTTCGGCCAAGAACTTGTTCAAATATTTTGAAATCGAGCGCTGCTAGAAATCGATTCGATTAAATGTCAAGATCAAAGGAACGCTGGCATCCTGATAACGGAATTAGTTTGCTGAAACAACAACCAGGAGCTGAAGCAAAGAATTCCACAGGCACGAGCAGATATGAAAGCGGAGGTACATCAGGTGCAAGATGCGTGGAACAAGTCGTGCCGAGAAAAAGGCAAAAGTGACAAAACAACAATTTATACAAAATATATAAATATAGGGTGTTTTTCGTTGAACAAATGGATGGGTATGGATGAAGGGAGTGGACCTACAAAATTGCGCATCTTTAGTGTAAAGTATCAAAAAATGTCATATCAACTTTGGGCCAATAAGTTTGACACACGTGGAAACTACGCTTTTTGTGACTGTGGCCTCTTGGCAATGACAAATCCCTGGCAGTGGTGGCGCATTGGTCCACACCATCGACTTCCAGGCCAACGCTGGATCTCTTTCACACAGGGGAAACACAAAAAGCATAACCATCATGGCATGACTACAGGAAAAATTGTCGTATCATTGTAGCACCATTCATACATCATCCCACATCATCATATATGATTATATATGTATATACATATTGTATATACAACGCCTGGGCCTTGCCCAGGCGTTGCAGCGTAGAGGGTCCCCATTCCCAATCAAATATTGTTTTTTTAACTCTGCATTCCATTTGGAAGATCAGCAAAGGTATTAGGGAATATTGAATTCCCACCCCCGTTAAGCTCTACATTCAATTGGGAAGATCAACAAAGGTATTGGGGAATATAAAAATTCCACCCCCGTTTAACTTTACATTCAAGTGGGAAGAGCAGCAAAGGTATTAGGGAATATTGAATTCCCACCCCCGTTAAGCTCTACATTCAATTGGGAAGATCAACAAAGGTATTGGGGAATATAAAAATTCCACCCCCGTTTAACTTTACATTCAAGTGGGAAGAGCAGCAAAGGTATTAGGGAATATTAAAATCGCACCCCCGTTAAGCTCTACATTCAATTGGGAAGATCAACAAAGGTATTGGGGAATATAAAAATTCCACCCCCGTTTAACTTTACATTCAAGTGGGAAGAGCAGCAAAGGTATTAGGGAATATTAAAATCGCACCCCCGTTAAACTTCACATTCCATTGGGAAGATCAAGAATACCTTTAGGTAATATTAAAAGTCCCACCCCCCTTAAACTTTACATTCGTTGAGGATCTTCAAAAAGGGTTTAATTCTCCCACCCCGTTACACTTCCACATTCATTGAAGATCTTTGGTAAGGGTTTAATTCTCCCACCCCGTTACACTTCTACATTCATTGAGGATCTTCAAAAAGGGTTTAATTCTCCCACCCCGTTACACTTCCACATTCATTGAAGATCTTTGGTAAGGGTTTAATTCTCCCACCCCGTTACACTTCTACATTCATTGAAGATCTTCAATAATGGTTTAATTCTCCCACGCCCGTTGAACTTCTACATTCATTGAAGATCTTCAATATGGGTTTGATGATGATGATGATGATGATGGTGATGATGATGATGGTGATGATGATGATGATGATGATGATGCGTTGCCTGTCGTGGTTGCGGTTCCGGGCAAAGCCCAGGCATTTGCCGTATATACATATATATGTGCGTGTGTGTGTGTGTTTGGTGTTCATCATATCAGTTGTATCTAGCTTCAGACATCAGAATGCGTTTCACAGAACCTACATAAATACATGTTGTGGACATGTGCAAACTGTATATACTCAGTAGAATCTTAGTAGATACTAAGTATACGTATACTGGAGATGTATTCGAGAAATCTAGAGGCTGCCTGTGCTTTAAACACATCCAGCCCGTTTCTTGCCGGTTTTCCAGACTCCTACAAGGAGGCCGCAGCATGCTGTGCCATGGGCAAAGGCCCACTTCCCGAATCCAGGATCTGATCCGTAAACTGAAGCTCTGATCTTTGTAAATGATCTTTCGATACAGAGGATCTGAGTGTCCTCTACAGGGATTCACTTTCAGAAGGAGCTTGCAAGAGACTCCTGCCGCATTTGACAATATGACCTTTGTGGCCAACCCTACGCTGAGAAGGACAGCAGATACGCTCGCACCTTTCACACTTCAGACTTTCAAAACGACAACTTTCTCGCTCTTGGCATCAAGGATCCGCACCGCTGTGACGCTTGGTGTTGTCATCCTAGCAACATGTGCGTCTCACAGGTCATAGCTCATGGCAAGAATTTTCATTCCTTGAAGGCAAACAAGCTTTACTTGTCCATGACAGCCAGCCATCTCAGCATTTCTCGAGCTGTCCACTTTGCCATCGCCAGTAGCGTCGGCCACTTCGCTGGTAGCTCCGCTTCAGAGGCTGGGCGTAGCAGCCGGGCTCTGAGCACCGTGTCTGGCGATTGTGGCCGATTCCCTCGACCACTGTCTCCAGTGACTCGTCCATGACTAATCCTATGACCCGAGATGACTAGACCAGCGGATGCTGTCTTGGCCCGCCCACTGAAGTGTCGTTGCATTTGGATACATCAGAAATGACGGTTAGACTTGCATCGTAGTCAGGCTGCCAAATTCTGAACATGGCAACCCAGTAAACATACGCCTCAAAATTCCAGTGGTAGCATCGGGTCTCAGTCGGATGAGCTGTCGCTTCCATAACCAGGATTCGCCACCACAGACCCTTCAGGTGAAGCATATGAAGGTCATCTGGAATTTCACCATTTTTCAAGGACTCAGCTTGGTTCAGGTAGCGCATGGGAAGCGCTTGAACCTTCAGAGAGAAGCTGCCCAAAGTTGTCGCAAGTTCAGGACTGGATTCGAGATTCAGAGTGTGCCGACAAACTTTGCAGTCGTCGTACAGCAGATTGGATGTCCCCACGATCAGCGCAATGGCAGCCTGGTTGGGCGCCTTAAACTCCTCCAACAGCTTCGCCACCGGATTTTCATAGTCTTCGTTTGCTCCATGGCCGGCATGGCCCCATCTCAGGACATCGCCCCATCTCAGGACATACTGAATGGTTTCCAAATAGTGGGTGAGAAATGGCACCAATGTCCCACTGTTCTTGAAGAGTTGCACGCCAGCATTCAATCGCACATGGCCTTGGTTCAGTCCTCCTCCCGACCGAGGAGCCTAGTGAACAAACCAAACTGCTTAAGCTTCAGCGTGCTTGATTATAAACGATTATAATTATAATGTGTCATATATAATTACTGAATATTTAGTTGTGCTGCGTATGTATATAATTCGGATCACTTTTACCGATTACAATGACTACAATTTTACTACCATGATGCCACAAATTCCTTGAATCTGGCAAGAATCCATTCTTGGTCTTTGCGACTTCCTCGTTGCTGCCCCATGGCACTTCATGCTCCCGGTCATACACTGTAAAGGCATAGTCCCACTCAGGACCATTCGTTTGGTTAAAAGGCAGGAATCTTTCCAAGGACTTGCAAAATAGCATATCCGAATCGATTGTCACGATGTATTGAAAGTCTCTGTTTTCTGGCAATTTCACCTGCTGGATGACCCACATGAAGAAGTTTGCATTGTTAATCAGCATCCTTTCATCGTGGACTCCTGGATCACAGACAGTTTCAATCGTAATCCCATTGTCGTGATATGTTGAAGGCAGACAGCCTGTGCGTCGATTGGAAATCGGGCCGGTCGTTTCATCCAAGTAGTCCTCCACCCCACCAGAATGCTCCTGGACAGGCTCATATTCAGGCGGGGTTTCATAATTTTTTAAACATGTTATGTGTTTTGTTTGAATATGCTATTCTGGTATTCTTTGATTGCAGATTAGAAGTTACATAAATTCATTGCATTCTATATCAGTCTATACGTCGGAATGTGTCTTTGGAACAACGTCACATATTGACATTCGTCTAGGGTTAAAAGGCCCTGCTTTCATCTGGGGAGAGCAGAGGCGAATGATGGCACTCCTAATTTGAATAGTTTCGCCCTGGGTGCGTTGCGGTGCAAGTGCTTCAACGAATCTATTGTCTAGCGAGGGCATACACATCCAATCTGATTATGTGTTCATCCAAAAATGAAACACTAAAGTTGCCTACGAAGAATGAACAAGCCATCCAAAATCAGGAGGGTAATGGTCCTTCTCAATGCTCAACATTCTTCAAATTGTCATCATGATCATTCAAATTGATTTGGACACATCTCACATCATCTCACATCATCTCACATCATCTCACATCATCACGCTTTAAGTCACTTAAAGTCACTTCAGTATGGTTTTTTCAATGTGTCCGTCTCCTGGGACCACTGCTCTTTCAGGGCGCTGAAGTTGCCTTCGTCGAAGTCCACGAGGCCGTGGCCCAGCTGCCGCAGCAGGCGCCGTGCCTTGCGGAGCTGCGCGTGCTCCACGGCCATGACCCAAATCCGCAGCCGAACCGACGGCGACGACGGCGCGCCGTAGATGCGAAGGAAGGACAGGAAAAACGGGGCCTCAAACTGTCAGCTGTCAGGCGCTGTCAGACTGTCACGTAGACATACGTCAACTGTGTCAATGGATGTCAACGGATGTCAATGCATGTCAATGGCAAATGTCAGGAGATGGAATGTCCACAAATTACAAGTTTTTTTCCGGCCGTTAGCAGCCTTCTTTTTGAATAGTAGAAGGATCATTTTGAACACAAGAACCGGCTCAATTCAGAACACGAAAACCGGATCATTTCTGAACACACGGAGAAACAAAATAGGGAAATCTACAGGAAAAATGCCGCGCCCCAGAACCTAGGACCACACTTTGTGCGAGCCTGCGCAAGGGAAATGCACTTCAACATTTTCACAAAAGTCACTTTATCAAGAATTTTACACGAAAAATGCCGCGCCCCAGAGTCAGCCCAGAACGCATACACACACTTGCTCAGAAACATCTTATCGAATTACTGATGTGGAATGCATCGTACGTGCAAAAAAACACTCCAGTAAACCTGACAGGAAATGGTGAATGACCAGGCGTGAGAAACAGTGTAGAAGAATTCTGCCGCTGAAACTGCAACAACGTAGTGGACAGCGTGTTCAACAGTTAAAAACTATCTGCAGGTACACAACTGGGCGTCCCCGGTTGCTTCCCCTTCAGTGACATAGCTTCGTTGGGCAAGGTAGTCACTGAAGGCCTTGCCCCCCTGCTTTTGTTGGAAAATCAAATGAAAAAGCCAAAAAGGCAATGTCAAATTGGAAAACCATTGAAGCACATCATCAAGCAAGTTAGAAGTTTTACATCTTTTCAGATGGTCCACACACACACCCTCCCGCAGGAGGGTGGGACATTAAGGTCCCGACAATGAGATGAAAATGAAGAGGAAGGGAAATGAAGATGAGGTGAAGATGACAATGAGATGAAAGTTACTTAAGCCAGGACGCAAAGAGGGGAACGCAAAAGAAGAGGGAAAGAGCAAACACCAACACATGAAACCTAGCCCAGAACGGGCAACCCTGGAAAGGCAAGGGAAAAGAAAAGCGGAGGCCGACGGAAAACGGAACAAGACCAGCGGAGGAGGGGGAGGACAGAAGCGCCTGAACCAACCTGACACGGCGAAAACCTACAACAACCTCAGCACGCAACGGGCCAAACCTACCTGGAGAGAGGAGAACGCAAGAACACATGAAATAGGGACCCATGGGGAACTAGTTAATGACATGATGCATCCACAACGCATGCAAAATTCGTGATAAGGCTCAAAGGCCCTCGGCTTTCAAGTCACAACCCTCTGGACGGCTTACGTGTTCAACCCCTGAATTAGGTGCACAATTTCAACCTCACCGAGAAACCAAAAAAGGAAGTGGCCAAACCTGGAAAGCATGTCCTGTAGCCTTCACATGGTAACATGTCATGTGAAAATGTCGAGCTCCGTACTCTCTTGGGCATCATTGAAAAACGGATGTTGTCGCGGCTTCCAGCTATGCAGAACATGGTGAAAATGGAAAAGGCGATGCCCAGTACTGCGGCAAGCAGTTTCAACACTCACTCGACCGACAGAGTGAAACCTGAAAAGTGAACGGCTGTTTCACTTTACTTAGACGAATTACTAATTCGAAAGTGTAAATTCAGAGATCGTTTTACTGTCAAATGTTAGCCTAGAAAGGCTTTCCCCGAAGGGCTCATACCACCTTGTCGGAATTCGGCATGAGTGACACACTTGCTCAGAAACATCTTATCGAATTACTGATGTGGAATGCATCGTACGTGCAAAAAACACTCCAGTAAACCTGACAGGAAATGGTGAATGACCAGGCGTGAGAAACAGTGTAGAAGAATTCTGCCGCTGAAACTGCAACAACGTAGTGGACAGCGTGTTCAACAGTTAAAAACTATCTGCAGGTACACAACTGGGCGTCCCCGGTTGCTTCCCCTTCAGTGACATAGCTTCGTTGGGCAAGGTAGTCACTGAAGGCCTTGCCCCCCTGCTTTTGTTGGAAAATCAAATGAAAAAGCCAAAAAGGCAATGTCAAATTGGAAAACCATTGAAGCACATCATCAAGCAAGTTAGAAGTTTTACATCTTTTCAGATGGTCCACACACACACACACTTGCTCAGAAACACTTCGCGCGAGCCTGCGCAGTCGAAATGCATGCCAATATTTCACAAGAGCCACCCAATGCAGAAATTTGCACGAAAAAATGTCGCGCCCCAGAACCTAGGACCACACTTCACAAGAGCCATTTTATACAAAAATTTCACAATCAGAGCCACTTTATCCAGAAATTTACAGGAAAAATGCCGCGCCCCAGAGTCAGCCCAGAACGCAGACACACACTTTGTGCGAGCCTGCGCAGTCGAAATGCATGTCAACATTTCACAAGAGCCACTTTATACAGAAATTCAGGAAAAATGCCGGCGCCTAGAGCGAGCACCCTGATCAAGCACCGGCCTTTACACCTACCGTAAGATCCTCTCAGTGTGGACACACTGTTTAGGGAACAAAAAGGAAGCCAAGACTGACACTGCGAAATCAGAAACCAGGAAACCAGGAAACTACGACACCCGGAAACTTGAACCTTGGGAAACCAAGAAACCAGGAGACCAGGAAACCAAATTATCCGGCAAGAGGCCCCAAACAGTGTGGGGGAGTGGGAGGATAATGTATGCGAATGTGGATGATGATGATGGTGCAGAAATTTACAGGCAAAATGCCGCGCCCCACTTCACAAGAGCCATTTTATACAAAAATTTCACAATCAGAGCCACTTTATCCAGAAATTTGCAGGAAAAATGCTGCGCCCCAGAGTCAGCCCAGAACGCAGACACACACTTTGTGCGAGCCTGCGCAGTCGACATGCATGTCAACATTTCACAATAGCCACTTTATATGGAAATTTTTGTGTGGAGACACTGTTTGGGGGACAAAAAGGAAGCCAAGACTGACGCTGCGAAATCAAAAACCAGGAAACCAGGAAACTACGACACCCGGAAACTATAACCTCGGGAAACCAGGAAACCAGGAGACCAGGAAACCAAATTATCCCGGCAAGAGGCCCCAAACAGTGGGGGGGGAGTGGGAGGATAATGTATCCTATTGTGGATGATGCTGATGGTGATTTTAATGATCATGATGATGATGGGAGAACCTAGGACCGCACTCTGCGCAAAATTTCACAAGAGCCACTTGATATGGAAATTTAGAGGAAAAATGCCACGCCCCAGAGTCAGCCCAGAACGCAGACACACACTTTGCGCGAGCCTGCGCAGTCGAAATGCATGTCAACATTTCACAAGAGCCACTTTTTACAGAAATTTACAGGAAAAATGCCGGCGCCTAGAGCGAGCACCCTGATCAAGCACCGGCCTTTACACCTACCGTAAGAACCCCTCAGTGTGGACACACTGTTTGGGGATCAAAAAGAAAGCCAAGACTGACGCTGCGAAATCACAAAACCAGGAAACCAGGAAACTACGACACCCGGAAACTAGAACCTCGGGAAACCAGGAAACCAGGAGACCAGGAAACCAAATTATCCCGGCAAGTGTATGATAATGTTGATGAGGATGAGGATGAGGATGACGAGGAGGAGGAGGAGGAGGATGAAGATGCTGATGATGATAATGATGACGATGATGATGATGGTGATGATGATGATGATGATGTCGATGCCGATGATGATGATGCTGACAATCACGATGACGATGAAGATGATGATGACGATGATGATGATGATGATGTGATGATGATGATGATGATGATGATGATGATGCTGATGATGATGGTGGTGGTGGTGATGATCATGATTCTGGTGCTGGTGCTGATGCTGATGCTGATGCTGATGATGATGATGATGATGGTGATGATGATGTGATGATGATGATGATGATGATGGTGGTTGGTTGGTGATGATCATGGTGCTGATTCTGATGCTGATGATGATGATGATGATGATGATCATGATGATGATCATGATGATCATGATGATGATCATGATGATGATGAGGGGGAGGATGAGGAGGAGGATGACGATGACGATGACGATGACGATGACGATGACGATGACGATGACGATGACGATGACGATGACGATGACGATGACAATGACGATGACGATGATGATGATGATGATGATGATAATGATGTTGATGATGATGAGGAGGAGGAGGAGGATCATAATGTGGAAGATGAAGTGGAGGAGGATGATAAGGTGGAAACCAGGAAACCAGGAAGCCAAGGAAACCGGGGGAAAGGAAACCAGGAAACCAGAACACCAAAGAAAGGAAACCAGTAAATCAGGAAACCAGGAAACCAAGGAAAGGGGACCAGGAAGCGAAGAGACTAGGAAACTTTGGAAAAACTATACCAACAGACGCGTTCAAAAATGATCTTTCCGCGTTCTAAAATGAGCTGGTT